CACTTTACATAGATATAGAACAATTGCTTTTTTAAAGCAAAATTGAAATTCGTGATTTTTTCAAATTTGAGTTTAGTTTTACCATATTTGTGTCTTTTTGATCTTCGTGTATGTATATCTTATGACCTATTCTATGTAGAACCTTGATATTTGGAATACAACTAGACACTTTGAATATAAATTCACCTATGGGGGTGGGTGTGGCCCATCCGGGTTGAATTACTAATTGTTTACATTTTGGGGCTGGGGCATAACTCGCATAGGATGCGTTTGTTCAAAAAGAGACTTTGCACACAATTACCTCATCCTTTTGGCCAGTTTGTATTAACAGCTCAGTTGTTTCAGCTTTATAGTTTCAAAAAAGGAACGGGTTTTAACATTTGGATATTTTCATTTTTCGATTTTGACCTTTTTTGACTTTTGTTGACCTATATCTTTTGACCTCTATTATGTAGGAACTTGACATTTGGAACATAACGTAACATTTTGAATATTGATTAACTTATTCAAAAAAAATTGAGTTGGGCGTGGCACTTCCGGGTTAAATTACTCATTATTGATATTTTTGGCCAGGAGCATAACTCGCAAAGTATACATTTGTTCAAAATGGAACTTTTTACACAATTACCTCATATTTTAAGCCACTTTGTCTTAGAATTTTGGTTGTTTCCGCTTCATAGTTCAAAAAAAGGAACAGGTTTTGGAAATTCAAAATTTTCAATTTTTGACCTTGACCTTTGTTGACCTTGACCTTTGTAGGATCAAACGTAATTGGCATTGGCATTTTTGACCTTGACCTTTGTTGACCTTGACCTTTGTAGGATCAAACGTCATTGGCATTGTTCTGCTGTTATGACTTGGCATTATCTATATTTCACAATTAAAACAGGACTACTTGAAGTGACTACTTTATACTGAATTTAAGGTGAAGAATAAAACCAACAAAACATCATTTGTTATTGGTCCTATGAGAGATGATTCCCTCAGACCAAATCCTGTTAAAAGACAACTTTTTCAAGTTTTAAATGAACAACCAAGAAAACGTAACAAAATGGAAAAGAAACGTGAACCAACAGAACAATATAATGCTTTGTCAAATACACCAACCTCATCAACTGGTAAAATGAAGAAGTTCCATATTGAAGTTCTTGAAGATGATGATGATGATTTTATTGAAATTGTAAGTAACTTATATATTATTATACTGGATTGTTGGCTTAATTAAAAATATATGTGATTCCGCTATTTTGTTTCATCAGCAATGTCATAATGGTATGAAAATGTCATTGCATTTAAAGGCTTATTAGTTGCATTGATCACTTACAAGTTGCTACCTGCATTATTCCAATATTCCATGCGAGTTTAGACGTTGTGTGGAATTTAGAATGGTGCAAATTGATGCTATCAATGTCACATAATTTGTTTTAGAAAACCTCTTTACAATTACTTGAATGAAACATGCTTACTTTGTTGTAATACAAATCTGTCCTTGTGTTTTGGGAAAAGACATTTTATATTTCTTTTCAATTGAATACAGGAAAGCCAGATGGGACGATTAGTGTTTGCCAATTTAGTAGGATTACAGTGGTGGCCAGGTATTATAGTGAAAGGATCTATGTGTCATCTATATACAGAAAATAAAGGCTGTTCCTGGATATTTTGGTTTGGTGACCATAAAATTTCATTGGTAATACTATTTAGACAAAAATTTCCTATATTCTTTCTTCTATTAGTTCTTGAAGATATTAGACATCATTGAAATATTACTTGTTGAAGTATTTAACAAGACAACCTTGTTTTTGTAGAAATGAATTCTTATGATATGATCCTTGCAGGTACAGCAAGAAAGAATAATTCCATTCGCAGCTAATTTTATAGAGAAGTCCAGTGGAAAAGGAAAAATGTTTCAAAAAGCTTTAAGTGAAATCATTAAGGTCAGTTTGCTGTAAGCTTGCATTTTTCAATAGAAATTGCTTAAGTATTATTTAAATTCTATAAGATAACATAAACACAAACCATCCATTTCAGTCAAATATTGTGTTTGAAACCATCAATATTTGTTTGTATATTTAGCAGAATATGCTCTTACTTGTGCTCTATAACAGTTATATATAATTGTAGGTTTATGGTGAAAGAATTGGTTTAAACGCTTGCACAATGTCTAATGAACAGTTGATTGAATGGGCTCAAACAGAAATTAGATTAATTAAAGGATCTAAACAGAGTGAAGCAGAAACAGGTAAAAGAAAGTATATAAATATGATAAAGTATACTGTTTGACAGGTTTATTGAATGGAATAGAGTGGTATCAGTGTTCAGGTAGCATGAGCATGTCCTGCCCCATCAATGAGATTGACCACATAACATATTTTAGAGGAGCCCAAATTCAAATTTACAAATCAGTCGAACGGGGAAACTGACATCAGAATGTCCTTGAAAACACTGCCATGTTATCAGTAATCTTGCTTTGGAGGAAGGGAGAGATTTGTACATTCTGGTGGTACAGTTCGTCTTTTGTCAGTACTTTCCATTTTGTCAGTATCTTCCATTTGCTCCAGTTTTCCTTAGCTATAAACTTCTCATATTGATCCAATATTTTACTATTTAAATTTGTTTAATTTGGATTTTGAATGAACCGTCATCATTTTTTTCCAAGACAAGAAAATTCCTGATTGGATTTTGGGAAAATTAGAAGAAATTGGAGCCGATATTTTAAAGAAAGTTGAAGGAAAACCACTACCTAAATCAAAACGTGATAAAATGGAAGAAAGAAGTGCTACAGGTATGATATTTTATAGAACATATTAAGTGTAGAAAAATGGAAAGGTTATTAATATGAAAGATATTATTTTTTTGTTGAATAGATTTCAATGAGTTTTTCTTGACTTTTTATGAGACTGTGTATTGGGACTGTGTATTGGGATACTTGTCATTACTGTCTCAATTTTGCAATAGTGATATCACAATCGGGTCTCGTTTTTCTTGGGGAAAAATCATCTAAATTGAAAATACGTAACACTTGTGTGGTCAATGTTTGAAATTGATTAGGATTCTGTATGGGACTCTCCTACAATTTTCATTTTAAGCTATATAATATTTTCTGTAGAAAATGCCATAGATGCAGTTAAAGAGGGGAAATGTGAAATTAAAGGTAACTTTCTGAAATCTTAATGTGAATCTCAAGACAGTAGTCTGTGTAGAGTGGCTGAAGCTCTTTTGTCTATTTAATTAAAAGATATGAATACATGTATAACAATAATGATAATTTAAAGTGAATTTGAAGAAAGTAATTTGAGAAACAATTCAACAGATTGTTATGTATTTCTGTTGTCTAACTGATTTTGTAGATATTTGTATAGCTTGTGCTGATTCGTCTGCAGCTATAGTTTGTCAGCATCCATTATTTAAAGGTGGAGTTTGCAAAAAGTGTAAGGTACGAAATGTTTCCCGTGTAACTTGTGAATTTTGAAAACTATTCAAGTTTAAGAGCTGTAAAGCTGTAAAGATTGTGGTACTTAACCTCTAAGTTTAAGCTTTATAATGAATATCGAAGCACTAAATTACCTGAATGTTATAACACATATCAATGTATACAAAAATTTATAAACCTGCTTAATACTGATAATTGAAAACTTCTGAAAAATTTGGCATCTTTTGTATATTTAGTTTTCATAAAATGTGAAACCCACATTCAAAACACATAATTTGATGGACATAATTTTGTAGTTATAATGAGTTATTTTTTCATTTATAGTTTATGTCCCATTTTTCTTTTTATCACAATTTCCTTATCCTTGCTGCATGTTATAGTCATCTATTTATTTATGTAGCTATTTAATATGTACAAGCTAAGTATGTATGTACTTAATGCTAATAAACATCATTATTATTATTATTATAGTAAACCACTACCTATCCTAATGTCTTAATGTCTTAATGTCTCAAGTTTTTTCGCTCTACTAGGTTGATATTTTGGAGACAATTTATGCCTTGGATGAAGATGGAGTTATGGTAAGTAACATATCAAAATTTTTTAGTAAATTAATATGATGCATGTGAAAAAAGAAAAAAGATGAAATTGTACAATTTACATTATTAATTATATTGGAAACTTATATATTCATCAAATTATAATGTGAGTAGAAGTTGAAGTATTATTCTCTCAATTTCAATGATTTTTAGGCATATTGCTCTATATGTGGACATGGTGGAACAGTATTTTTGTGTGATAAAGTAGGCTGTAATAGGTATGTAGTCTATTCAATTTAGGCATAGGCATATAATACACACAGCTGTGAATGTATGTTTACTTTTACATAGTAAATATTCCGTTTCCAGTAAAAAGCGTGCGGATATCTGGGTTTCCGGATTATTGGCAACTGGATAAACGCGGCTCCACTGTATATCTACTTGTATGATCACATATTTATTCCTTTGCATGGCTTTAAAATAATAACAATCATTTATTATCTATACTTCAAGGCCAAGGCCTAGTACATTTTATTACATAATAATTATAGTATACAAAGTAAAAAGATCACAGGTAATAATAATTAAGACAAGTAGCAATGAAAGACTTTAGTCAAGTTGATGTCTACATGACATCAAGGTAAAAAGATCACAGGTAATAATAATTAAGACAAGTAGCAATGAAAGACTTTAGTCAAGTTGATGTCTACATGACCAAACGAGTTATCTCCCATAATAGGGTTGAAATTTCCCTTGATACTTAATCCTTATTTAATATATTGAGCTTGATTAGCCACGTGTGATACATCATTAAATAAGTGCTTGAGTTTATCAGGTGAGGGGTATTTGATAATCTTGCCTGGTAAAAATAATCCTACCAGCTCCTTATATAGGGCAAACTAGTATGAAGTGTTGTTCATTTTCTACCAATCTTTAAGTTTTATTTCTCCTACCTATTTCAACTAGCAAGTCATGTATAGAAAAATATGAAAAATCTTGCTTAGGACCATTTCAAATTAAAAGGCAAAGAAGTGAGATAATTTTCCAGGTCAAAATTTTCCTTAATACATGTATATAAATCATAGTTATGAGAATTAGTTGTGTTAGTGTTTGTAAATTAACACTTTGTTTAAAAGAATAGTTTTGCGTAACTCACTCCTTGATTTCCCCAAACAACTCCAAAGATTTATACCAGGTCCTTCTCCCTGCAGTGCCTAATTGATATATCAACAAATGTGAAGTAACATAATTTTGATGTTCCATATTTTGTATTTGATGAACCGTCGGATCTATTCATTTGCTCTGCTAGTTGTTTTACATAAAGAGCAAATAACCAAGGACTGACTTTAATCTTTTAGAATCTAGGCAAAGTGTTCAATCAATTCGGGCAGTAGTCAGAGAACTTGAATATTTGAATTTTCAGTCTTCATCACCTAAAAATAGGAAGATATCCTTTGTCCTTCACAAACAGTTCTGGATTCTTGCCTGTACCTGGTTGAGAATAAAAATGTCTGATATATTGTAGGGTGTACTGTGTGGAATGTATTGATGAGATGGCTGGTTCTATTATTCTGACAGAGGTAATGTACAACTAGATTTACATTATTTTAATTCTTTAAAGATGGGTTCCCTTATTTTCATTTATGAAAATGAAAATGCTAATACTTATATGAATAGAAAGTATAGGTTTTCTTATGACTTGGAAAAATACCAGTTTGTCTCATATGTCCATAATTAATTCATAATTACCAGCAGAATTCCAATGAGTGACTGATCAAGAAAGGTCAAAAAGTCTTTTTTTGTTTATCCAGACTGTACATTCATGAACATTTATGATTGGTTAAAACTCTTTATCATCTGCCATACGAACATAATGATATGATTAAGAATACGTAATAATTCATTACAAACACCAATTAATCAAATAGTTTGCTAAATTTGACACTAAAAAAAAAAGGAAAACCATCTTCAAGTCAATGTACTAATTTTTTTTTTACAGTGAGATTGCTCATTTTAGTCAACATTATGATTCTTCAGTATAAGTATCCAGTTTGTTATCATTACTTGATGGATTTATAGTTATTGTCAAGTATATAGAATTTTTCAACTGCTCATTGGTATTAACCAGGCTTCTGTAATCTGGGGATCTTCAGACATACATCTCAATTTCAGATTGAGCAAAAGAAGAATTGGCAATGTTTTATGTGTACTGAATTTGATATTAAATCTCATGGACTAATAGAACCTAATAAAGACTGGCAACAAAGAATAATTCAATTTTTCGAAACAGAAATGGTTCATGAGGTAAACATGTTTGATTGAAACACATCTTACATTCTCAATGAAAGCATGTGGTTGGCGAACTTCTGTTATCCTTTGAAATATGATACAGAGAGTTCTTACAAACAAATTGAGTGAAGTTGGAGGCGTGATCTTTATTTGTTGATCTGTTACAATTAACTAAAAATTTAATTTGAAATGTTTAAAACATTGACCCATTACAATTTGTAGATACCAACCTATGATATGTTTAAAACGAAACGACCTATCAGAGTGCTAAGTTTATTTGATGGAATTGGAACAGGTAGACAGTATTTTTCATTTTCTATTCTTTTGAGTTTTTGTGGAAATTCCTTCTTTCCTACGTAAAAGAAGTAGATAAAAATACTGGACAATGGTTGTGAAATTGCGATTTGCCAGGACAGAATACACCCTGGTGCATACCCTGGGTATGATACCCATTAGTAGAAACAACACTTTTTGTGGTTCATGTGGTTAAATTAAATGTCCAAGTTTAAATCCTGATTTCAATGTAGGGATTCTGGTACTAAGAGAATTAGGTATGAATGTAGAGGAATATTATGCTAGTGAAATTGATAGTGATGCTATGATAGTGACATCTGTTCATCATGGTGATATTGTACAACAAATTGGGGATATAACAGAAATCACAGAAGAAATAGTTTGTATATATGTTAATTTTTTCAGTAGAATTGAAGAGTATGTAAAGGCTTGAATAGAGTAAATTAAAGCTCCAACCAATTCATCCAAATTAGCTTTAGGAGAGATTTTAAAGAATTATCTGGAAGTAGGCTGGATGACTGATGACTGTTTTTAATACCAATGTTACTGTACATTGCTTACACTCTTACAGTTGTATTGAAATTGAAACTTAAGTTCAGTTCTCTTTCTTTATTTCACTAGATATCTTCAATACTACCTATAGATTTATTATTGGGAGCATCACCTTGTAATGATTTATCATTAGCTAATCCAGAGAGGAAAGGTTTTAATTTTGGTAAGTTGAACTATGATAGAACAACAGACCTTTTTGAGCAATAGAACCAGAGCTACCTCCATAATGACATTATATTGATCATTATATAAATGAAAATCCGTTTAATTCAATATTTATTGAAAAATTTTTATTTTATTACCTTTTGCAGGTGGGACTGGTATACTATTTTTTGATTTTGTAAGAATTCTAGAAATTATTCGGAAACTTCAAGATAAACAGAGACATTTATTCTGGCTGTTTGAAAATGTAGCATCAATGAAATTAGAATTTAAGAAAGTAATATCTAGATTTTTAAAGGTAAGAAATCTTGAAGTAGCAGAGGAATCCAGCTCAAAAGGCTGTTAGAAATATCATTACATTACATGAAATTTACTGAACCAGAATACTGATAATTTGTGGTCGTACAACTACCCGGGTCTATAATGGAAGGTTCTTTTTGTATCCATCCATCTGCAGGATGTTAGTTTCCATCATATATGGAGAAAACACTGTTGAAAAGTTAGTAAGTTAGATCTGTATGATATGGTATTTTTTACAGTGCCCAGCTGCTATGTGGAATTCAAGTTATTTCAGTGCTCAGAACAGATCTCGTTATTTCTGGGGTAATATACCAGGATTATTTAGGTAATATATGATATTTTGTAATGAGGTTCATAAAAAGAAGATCATGCTAGATATTTAGACTAAGTAATTGCATGCACATTTCTGAATTCTCTTGATTTTTTTCTAGGACATGATCCAAAATTCTTTTTTTTTATGACACTTGTAGTGCAAGGAATGCAAGGGTTCAGATACATAACACATAGGTCTGTCAGATACATAATAAATAGGTCTACTGTTTTTCTTTTAAGGGCTATAAATTTTCACTTTGTTTATCACCTCTGGCAATGGGAAATAGGATAGGCTTATCTTGAAGAAATTACTCAATTTATGTAACTTCACTATTCAAATTTGCTAGATTACACCAGTGCCACATAATAAAAATTAAAAATTGTTTGTTAATGTACTTGTTATTTTAGTACTCCATCTGTTTCATCCTATAGTCATGAGAAGGTAATGTTAGACAATTTTCTTACCAAGAAATGTAAACGTCAAGCCACGGTAGATCAGTTACGTACTGTTACAACTCGTACTAATAGTTTAAGACTAGGTAAAGATGATAAAGGCTTTCCTATTAAAATGGATGGGCAGGATGCAGGCATATGGATACCAGAGTTAGAAAGGTAAACATGAAAATGTGGACGTATATTGCCTCTGTCTGTCCACATTTCATGTAGGCACTATAGAGACTACAGTGTTTATCCAATCTTAATGAAATTTGATATGCATGTATATATTGATGAGATCTTGGTCAAGTAACAATCGGTTTTGAAGTTATTGCGCTTAGTAAAAATGCGTCAAATTTGGCTTGTATCCATGATAAAGGCTACAGTTTTTATCCAATCTTGATGAAACTTGGTATGCAAGTATATATTGATGAGATATCTGTCAAGTTCGAATTTGTTACACAAAGAATCAATTGATTTGTTTTGATTTTTAGAGTATTTGGTTTCCCCTCTCACTACACAGATGTTCAAAACCTGCCCTCAACCAGACGCCAGAAATTACTAGGAAAAGCTTGGAGTGTTACAGTTTTGAAAAATATTCTGAAACCATTAAAGCAGTATTTTCAGTGTTCTGCAGAGGAAGGCAAGAGATGAAGATTATCTTTTAGGTAATAATCTAATTTCTTGAACCAAACTTAGCAGTGTTTACAGCGCTCCATATTGTATATTCCAATACCATTTTATTCTGAAATTTTTCTTATATTCGTTATGTTTTGTTATTATTTTCAGTCATCAGATCACCATAGCATGTTAATGGTGTATGTATTTGACCTTGTTATTATTTATAAAATTAAGTTTGTATTGTTAGTTTGTTACACATTTAATGATTTACATGCAATTCCTGCCAATTTTTCGACATTTTATAATTTTAATAGATTGCATAATTTACATTACTTTCTACATATTGAGTTTTTTTTTAGTCAATTCATCAAGAATAGACCTATATAAATATGATTTTGACATTTTTACATGTTTTTAATTCCTGAATGATGATAATAATGTTAATGATTATTGTTTATTGTTTTAATGTTTCATTAAATGATATCTAAAAAAAAATACATACCAATCACATTTCAAAACAATAGAATTTCAATGAATATTTTTGTTGTTGTCGCTGCCCTTTTTTATACGCCCACAAGAATATGTGGTCGTATATTGTCGTCGCGTTGGTCCGTCGGTCCGCATTTATTGTGAGCACTATAGAGACTACAGTTTACAACCGATTCTGATGAAACTTGGTTTGATGCTTTAGATTGATAAGATCTCGGCCAAGTTCGAATTTGACATATTTTCGATGAACGGTTTTTGAGATATTGCCCTTGACTTTGTTAAAACGTGTTGAAATTTGTTAAAAATTGTTCGTGAGCAGCATTGAAGCTACAGTTTTCAACCGATTCTGATGAAACTTGGTGTGATCATTGGAATTGATAAGATCTCGGACAAGTTCTAACATGACGCATTTTCGATGAACGGTTTTTGAGTTATTGCCCTTGACTTTGTTAAAACGTGTCAAAATTTGTTAAAAATAGTTCGTGAGCAGGATTGAAGCTACATTTTTCAACCGATTCTGATGAAACTTGGTGTGATCATTGGAATTGATAAGATCTCGGACAAGTCCTAACTTGACGCATTTTTAACGAACGGCTTTTGAGTTATTGCCCTTGTCTTTGTTAAAGCATGTTGAAATTTGTTAAAAATAGTTTGTGAGCAGGATTGACGCTACAGTTTTCAACCGATTCTGATGAAACTTGGTGTGATCATTGGAATTGATAAGATCTCGGACAAGTTCTAACTTGACGCATTTTCGATGAACGGTTTTTGAGTTATAGCCCTTGACTTTGTCAAAGTGTGTTGAAATTTCAAGATCTCGACTTTGTTAAAACGCATGGAAATTTGTTAAAAATAGTTCGTGAGCAGGATTGAAGCTACAGTTTTCAACTGATTCTATTGAAACTTGGTGTGATCATTGGAATTGATAAGATCTCGGACAAGTTCTAACTTGACGCATTTTCGATGAACGGTTTTTGAGTTATTGCCCTTGACTTTGTAAAAACGCGTCAAAATTTGTTAAAAATAGTTCGTGAGCAGGATTGAAGCTACAGTTTACAACCGATTCTGATGAAACTTGGTGTGATCATTGGAATTGATAAGATCTCGGACAAGTCCTAACTTGACGCATTTTTGACGAACGGCTTTTGAGTTATTGCCCTTGACTTAGTTAAAACGTGTTGAAATTTGTTAAAAATAGTTTGTGAGCAGGATTGACGCTACAGTTTTCAACCGATTCTGATGAAACTTGGTGTGATCATTGGAATTGATAAGATCTCGGACAAGTTCTAACTTGACGCATTTTCGATGAACGGTTTTTGAGTTATTGCCCTTGACTTTGTTAAAATGCGTCGAAATTTGTTAAAAATAGTTTGTGAGCAGGATTGACGGTACAGTTTTCAACCGATTCTGGTGAAACTTGGTGTGATCATTGGAATTGATAAGATCTCGGACAAGTTCTAACTTGATGCATTTTTGATGAACGGTTTTTGAGTTATTGCCCTTGACTTTGTAGAAACGCGTCAAAATTTGTTCGTGAGCACAATAGAAGCTACAGTTTTCAACCGATTCTGATGAAACTTGGTGTGATCATTGAAATTGATAAGATTTCGGACAAGTTCTAACTTGACGCATTTTCGATGAAATGTTTTTGAGTTATTGCCATTAACTTACGAAATACGCACAGTTTTCAACCGATTTTGATGAAACTTGGTGTGATCATTGGAATTGATAAGATCTCGGACAAGTTCTAACAAGAGATATTTTTGATTGAGTTATTGCCCTTGACTTTGTAAACACGCGTCAAAAGTTGTTTTTGCCCTTGATTAGAGCTGTGTGATTTAATTGTTTGTTGTATTTGGGTTATTGATATTGATTTTAAAAAATTTTGTGGAATTATTCAGCATAAATAATTTCTTCAATATGAGAAAATTCGTACTTTAGTCACTAAAGACTGTTTTATCATTTCTGACAGCTGCCAGTGGGCGTATGTTACCTTGCATCGTAAGCTATTTTCTTTCCCGTCCTCAAAAGGTGAACATACGCAGATAAAGTTGTACTAACGTTCTTTTTATACTCCGCCCGCCCGCCCGTCCGTCTGTTCACATTTCTTGTAGGCGCGATAGAGGCTACAGGTTTTGTCCGATCTTGGTGAAACTTGGTAAACATGTATATATTGATGAGACCTCGGTCAAGTTCGAATTTGGTAATAATCAGATGAACGGTTTCAGAGTTATGGCCCTTGACTCAGAAAAAACGTGTCAAATTTGCCTTGTAGCCACGATAGAGACTTCAGTCTTTGTCCAATCTACATGAAACTTGGTATGCATGTATATATTGATGAGATCTCAGTCAAGTTCGAAATTAATAATAATAATCGGATGAATGGTTTCAGAGTTATTGCCCTTGACTTAGAAAATACGCGCCAAATTTGCCTTGTAGGCATGATAGAGGCTACAGTTTTTATCCGATCTTGATGAAACTTGGTATGCATGTCTGTATCGATGAGATCTTGGTCAAGTTCAAATTGGCAAGAATTGGATGAGGGGTTTCAGAGTTATTGCCCTCGACTTAGAAAAAATGCGTAAAATTTGCCTTATAGGCACAATAGAGACTTCAGTCTTTATCCAATCTACATGAAACTTGGTATGCATGTATGTATCGATGAGATCTCGTCAAATTCAAAATTGGCAATAATCGGATGATGGGTTTCAGAGTTATTGCCCTTGAATTAAAAAAAAAAAGCGTCAAATGTGCCTTTATCGGATCTCCATGAAACTTGGCATGCATGTACATGTATATATGGATGAGATCTCGGTCGAGTTTAAAATTGGTAACAATCGGGTGATGGTAGTGGGTGTATGTTACCTTGCCTGGCAAGCTATCTTTTTCATTCCTGTACTTTCCCTTTAATAAATTGTATTAGCGGTTTGGTCGGTGCGACTCATCTAATTTGCGTATTTGGGAAGCTAAATTCATTTTACAACTACATTTGTAGGTTATTATTATATTGTTTTTGTCGTAGCATATCCATGAGTATTAATTACCCTGTTGTTATTACCATCATGAATATTACCTGACTGTTGCTAATGACATATGAGGGGAAGATTTGAACTAATTGACTCATTCGTGCATGGGCCTCGAGAATAACCGCGTTGCATGGCAAGAAAACGCTAGAAAAAGTCGAAAAATATTTAGTATGAGTTATTGCCCTTGTTCTCAAAACGATCGTAAACACTCTAGAAGGCACAATTCTTAACGGATTTTGTTGAAACTTGATGTGTTTGTTATCACCCAAGGATGGACGCTATTTAAAATCAAAGAGATCAAAAAATAATTAGTATGAGTTACTGCCCTTGTTCTTGAAAACGCGTCCAATTTTAGCTTGTAAACACTCTAGAAGGCACAATTCTGGATTGATTTTGACGAAACTTGGTGTGAGTGTTTGTAATCTCCAATGGATAAATCCTATCGAAAATCAGAAAAATTGAAAAATATTTACTATGAGTTTATTGCCCTGTCTTGAAAACGCGTTCAATTTTTAGCTGGTAAACACTCCAGAAGGCACATATCTTGACGGATTTAGATGGAACTTGTTTTGAGTGTTAGCAATCACCCAAGGATGAACCCTTTTGAAAATCAGAAAAATCGAAAAATAATTATATGAGTTATTGTCCTTGTTCTTGAAAACGCGTTCAATTTTTAGCACGTAAACACTCTAAAAGGCACAATTCTTGACGGATTTTGACGAAACTTGGTGTGAGTGTATGTTATCACACGAAGATGAACCCTAACGAAAATCCAGGTCCAGGGTTCAATCCCGCCATAGGTCGAGATAATACCTTCGGATTTTTCAACCCGGTTTCCTCCTGTCAGTGATGCAAGTGAGAGGGGCTGACATGTAAAAAGCGTCTAGTCGTTCGGATGGAACAATAAACCGAGGCACCGTGTGCTACAGGCTGTGCACGTTTAAGATCCCTCGACAGTTGGAAATCGAAAAAGAGCAGGCTAATGCCGCTGTCCTGGCATAATTTCCCTCATTTGCACCCTGCATGGCGTTGCCCGTCTTCATTAGACCACATGGTGCAGAAAAGTAGGACGTAAAACTTCATTCATTTCATTTCTTAAAAACGCGTTCAAGTTTTAGCCTGTAAACACTCTTGAAGGCCCAATTCTTGACAGATTTTGATGAAACTTGGTAATATTATCCAGTATTGCCTCAAAGAGTTCAAAAGAAGTGTATGTCTGAAGGTTGAATATTTAATACTGGTAATTCTAATTGCCAAATATTTTTATTTAAAATCAAAGCTGCCTGCCATGGCAAGCTATCTTTATTACATTTATGGACATGTTATTACGCTTGCCTAAAGACATTCTCAAATCCGTGGAGATCACAACGGCGAATATTTGCGACCAACCATACGGTATCTGACGCTCCCTTCACGCTTATCCCACTCTTGGGGCATGGCGACCTTAACATGGTCTCCGCAAATTTTCCAGCGTAAAACGGTTGTAATGGCGGCCATTTTGGAACACTCTTGAAGCGTAACACAAACTAAAAATTGAAGTTGATTTCATGAAATTTCAATTTATATGCAGGCTAACACTAAACTCATGAATGATTTAAAACTATCATTTCTTAATTTAAAGTATATTTTGAACGGATAATTGCATATTATTTCAATTATTTGATCAGAAGGTCTACTTTCACTTTATCGTTATTTGTTATCCTGTGTGGGTGTGTTTTACCAATTCAGATTTGGGAATGTAGGAACGCATGATGTTGTTATGAAATTCTAAAAAAAAGATCATAGAATCAGAATATCGCTCAGTTTTTGGTTTTTTTTTTTTTTGAATAAGTGCTTTTGACAATTCAAGCTCCGTTACACCGGAAAGGCGTCCGGTGACTGAAAATTGATATTTCACCGTCTTGACTAAGTTAAAATGCCGAATTTTAGTATTAATTAAAGATAGGAACCTAAAATATATACTCAATGGGTTCTCATATGCGAAATCGAATTTTAACACACTTTTTTGGCTATGTCATCTTTTCAATTTAGTATATTTTCTATAAAAAATAACAATTAGGTAGCCCTGACTCAATAATAAAGAGTTTTGAAATGAAACTTTCGATTTCGCCAAGATTGACATGTTTACTCCACGAAATGACAATGAGGCTTGAGAAAATATGCCGTGTGTGCCTTAGCCCGTAACAGATCACCTACTTTTTGGAGTTGTCATTTGGCCATTTTTACGATCGGCGATTCGCAGCGCCACCATCGGCCGTTTGCATTGCTATAAAGATGAATGTCAACAAAGGTCGCGAGATGCATACGACCATAAAACCGGAATCTTACTTCCGACATCATATATCAAGTATTAAAGGGCCTATCTGGTCTAGAAACTAGTTGGATAACCTAGTCTCTAGAGAGTCAGGGGTTTTCGACCATGTTCGAAAATTATTTCATTTTCGAATAGGCCTATACGTCTCCATCAGTTGCGACGACGTCGCGGAGACTAATTTTGTCTGTGAGAGCAGAGACATCTCTGCGACCTGTTGGAGACTAAGGAGGCATCGCAGTGGCGTCTCCGCGACGTGTTCAGGCCGTTGCTTGACCTGCGTAAGAGACCACGTGACTAGTGCGTCTGGGAGACATTAGCGACTTCCGGGCGAACTGGTTGTCTTCCTTTCTGGCGACCTCAAGGAGACGTCTCGTCGCCTGGGTGAAAGTGCATAGCCTACCATTTCCATATTACAAGATCCTATTAATTTATCACACAACTGTACAATAAATGCATATTTTCCTTCATTTCCTTTTTTTCTATTGCTCTCTTTTCTATAATATTATGGCCTTCATTTTGAGGTCAGCCTTTTTACACATTTCTACAAAATGTCCTTGCGCGTTACAAAAAACAATCACGTGATTAATTCATGCGCGTCACTAATTACATAACGAGTCACCTTTAGAGAGTCATATGGTGCATGAATAGATTACCTAATTTGCATTTCCTTATTAACCTGTGCTTCAAGGTCGTATCATATTTATGAACCTGGGTTACGTACCCGAGTTAAGAGCTGTTGTGTGATAAAAAGTGTTCTTAACCAGCAGATTGTCGATACTACACTGGCGTTATTATCTATTTAACTATAATGATGTTATTGGTGATAAATGCATGCGAGTTATTTCAATGGCGAAAGTAGCCTATCTCTTTGTTGAATTGTCGAGAAAAACGGACTAGTTGCTTAAATTTGCCAAAAACCTGTCTCTCATTGAACCTGGTCATGGAAATGAGGCCGTATATTTTCCATTCACATTGCTTGTAACAGTGGCGTATTAAAAAGGTCCATGGTGCCACGCCCTTCCCCCTTTGGAACGAGAAAAAAAGAAAAATTTAACATACTGTCACTAGGTAATCTTAGTAGATCTTGATTAAACTTAGTTTGCATGCAAATATTGATCACAGTTAAGTTTAAAATTGGTAACAATCGGGTGATCGGTTTCGGAGTTATTGCCCTTGACTTTGTCAAAACGCCCCAAAAGTATATTTTTTTGATGGAATCAAATGAAATTCGGTATATGTATACATATTCATAAAACGAAGATCAACTTCGAATTTGAGCTATTTTCGACCATTAGAAGCAGAGTTATTCCCTTGCACCAAAATCTTGAATATGCTATTAATCTCTTAGTTTTCAACCGATTTTTGATGAAACTTATAATGGATGTTATTGGACTTAAATCGGAAGGTTTGAGAAAGTTTAGTTTACTTCTGATAAGATTTAAGGCATTTTCAAGATTTAGGCCTCTTACGTCAGTTTTGAGGAGTTATCGCCCTTTAACCTCTATACAGTAAGTGCTTCTATCAACATCAATTGCTCGTAAACACTCTAAAAAGTAGATTTTTTCATGGAATCAAATTAAATTCGGTATGTGTATACATATTCATGAAACGATAAGTTCGAATTTGAGCTATTTTCGACTGTTAGAAGCAGAGTTATTGCCCTTGCTCCAAAATCTTCAATATACTATTAATCTTTTAGTTTTCAACCGATTTTGATCAAACTTAAAATGGATGTTATTGGACCTAAATCGGAAGGTTTGAGAAAGTTTAGTTTATTTCTGATTAAATTTAAGGCTTTTTCAAGATTTAAGCCTCTTACGTAACCTCTATACAGTAAGTGCTTAGTGCTCGTAAACACTCTAAAAACGCTTTTTGATGGAATCAAATGAAATTCGGTATGTGTATACATATTCATAAAACGAAGATCAAGTTCGAATTTGAGCTATTTTCGATCGTTAGAAGCAGAATTAAAATGTTACAGTCTATCTTACCTTTACATGAAGTGGTCAACAACCGGATTGAAGCTATCACCTTCACAATATCCAGTGACCCGTAATGAACATTATGTTTGCTTGCTTGTAACAAGACTTAGCCATCAAATTTTTTCTTAGCTGTTTTAGCTAATTTGGCCAGCTGACTGAAATGCTTAAATACAGGAGTGTGATAAATTAATTAGGCAACGTATTCGTCAAGTCTGATTTTAATATTGCACACGGGAGTAAAAGTTGGCTAATTTAGCTTACGTAGGCCCTACTACCCCTTGCATTTCAGTAAAGAACCCAGTGTTATATCCGTAATTGTGACTATATAAATGTTTGTTGGTACAACAACTAAGCTGATTTACCGCTCTTTGTTGTAACAATTAAGGAAGTTTTAATAGTTTCGATTCGAACACCACGACAACAAATCTTGGTCACGTGATTCGAGCTATAAATAATGTGTCGGTGTGTTGAGTAGTAGATTTCAAGAAAGGAAGTTTAAAACTTGTGATTTTCAAGCAGACGACTATATTTCAGGCAAAATGACAACACAAGTCAAAAATCACCAAGGTAATTGAAATTTTTTTGTATTATAGCTGAATATTACAGGAGTGGGGGAGATCTAGTGTAATGCCAGGGACTTAATGTCTGTTCTTTGTAGTAGTAGTAGTAAAGGGTTTTTGATCTTGTGTTTTCTTAGCCTACACAAAAGAGCTTCCTCTTTGTAATTAACAAAGTTTTAAGTAAAGCTAGATTATCCTAAATGATTATTATGGGAGAACATCATTGTGGAATTTGACCTAATTATTAATGAAACAAGTTTTATATACATCTGGAGAATGTACTGACTCATTAATGTAATAAGTTTAGCGAATTATATAGGGTCAATGAATAAATTCCCTTGTGGCTAATTTGGTTTACTACCACTACTCGATATGAGTCTGTTTTTTGTGGTAACATGTTTCTTTGTATAATCATATTCCTGATGTCATGTTAGACTTAAGAACTGCACACTCAAATCTTTCACCAATCCAAATTATACGCTCGTAGAATATAGTACACTTATATTCACTACATATATATTCTGAATTCAATATGTAATATATAGATCTTATCGTTCTTGAGAAAGGAAGTGTCGCGATGGTCAGTACAATTATATGACTGTACGTCCAAGGTCATCGATTGTTATCCGGCTATTTGTGACACTTGATCTATTTTCAGTCATGTACAAATACATAAAGTTTACATTCCTCAACATAGTTCTATGTAAGTAACATGTGAAAATTATATACAAGTGGAGTATGCTTGAATTCCAAACATGTGGCATATACGTGTTTTTTTTTTTTATTAAAGAGGAGGGGCGCATTTGAAACATCCAAATGTTCGCTATGGACAAAGCACAAAAAACTGGTCAAAGTACACCACATATTAATTCTGAAATTGCATACAAACATTAAGGACAAAAGAATAGTAGACAAAGTGTTGAGAACCGAGGGTATGACCTCAGATAAAATTATGATATCATTAACATTATGTTAACACAACGTCATGTACCGTTATTCAAATAGGAAGTTTTGGAACAACAATATTATTGATTAAATAATATCACATGGGAAGTAAATTGAAGCGGACTTGAAGGGGGAAGTTTACTATTTTTTGACATAAGTAAATAAAGACGAAATAATAATCCACATCTTCCTCGTTTCTTAAATGAATATAATATACCTGGGGGCGTAGGCTATTCTTTCCCATTGTAAAATGAATAGAATCACTTTACGAAATTGTATTCAAGATTGTATATGATTTACAGGTGGAAAAGAATTTGGAAAGTTATTGAAACAAATTGAGTTAACTTGTGATGAAATAAATCAGGTAAGAAATACTTTACATATTGATAGATCAGTCGTTTTGGTACAGTGTAATGTGTGGTGACAAAAACTTTCTGTAGCATATTATAAGAGTAAAATACATCATGTTTGAGAGGCGTAATAGACAATCTAAAAGATTCTGCTTTCCTAGCTGATGTAGAACGAATTTAATTACAGACATTTTTGGAAGATGAATTCTGGCAGGATGTTGAAGATTTAGAAGATCAACTTGGTAGTTATAAAAGTAAGAATGATGTTACCTTATAGTACCCGTCCTTTCGCCCATTCTCTATTTCTAAATTTCTCTGGCACTGCTCGGAGAATGTCAAATCAGGATTCCAAAAATTGAAGTGGCCTTAATCATCATCAAATAAGTTGAAGGGGCATTCCACTTTTTTTGTAAAACATTTTCATTATCAAAAATGTCATTAATTATACCTGAAAATATTTCTAAAGTATGCTATTTATATCTATGTTATGGCACTGTATCTATTTGATCAAACTGAATTTCTTTTAAAAGGGTTAAGGAAAAATTGAGAGTACAATTGATTATTAAGCAATGTGACCTTGTTTTGATGTTTTATAATTGCTCGATATTATTCGTTGAAAGCTTTCGAATACCATAACTCTGTAGTTTTCTTCCACCATGGCATACTCAAAATCACAACGAACTTGAAAACCTTACGTTTTTAGATAGTTTGGGCGTTAAAAAATTGGTATAGGCCTATATAGATTTCACAAATATGTGCAAATACTGTTTAAAGATGCTCTACAATTTGCATGATCTACCACTTCAATTCAGAAGTTGTTTTCTGGTGTTTTTTTTTTTATGCAGAAGTGTACAATTTCTTAGAATATCACCAATTTGAATATGACCTTTATCTCCAATTAACACTTCTCTTTAACTGTTTTCCAGAACAATTTATAGAATATGATGCAGATAAATCAGGCGACCTGAGTAAGTATTAACGTTCAGAATATGAGGCATTCAAGTTGCTTATATTGTATTTTGAAAATAGTCATGTCCATCAGATAAGGGTCGATCCTTTCACACTAATCAATAACGTAAAACTCTGCTTGATACAAGTTTTCTAAGAATAAGAATATGATTGCTTTCCTTGTTGAATCATGAATTATTTCAGTAGCACTTTCATTCTAAGGTTAACGTTGAATTTTCAGATTTGATGGATGTCAAAATAATGATGGAGAAGTTAGGCCAAGCTAAAACACATTTAGAGCTGAAGAAAATGATAGCAGAAGTTGATATCAGCAATTCAGGAACGATAACTTATAGTGAATTTTTACAAATGATGCTTGGCAAAAAGTCTTCGGTTCTCAAATTGTAAGTTCCTATGTTTTATTAAAGATATACTGCCTCATAGAATGCACAGACAATTTAAAGTCTCAAGCATATATTCATCAGTTGGACTTACCAGTTGGACTTAGCCTTGACTAAAGAATAGATCTCTATTCATCAAACTTAGTAATTTTGAAACAGGCTTAGAAGCGGATAATGGATTGTTACTTAGTTTTATGGATTTAGAGGAATTCTGTCGTTTATTTTTGACACCAGGCAATTCCAATGTTGAACAAAGAAACGTATATATAGTATACATATACGTTTCTTTGTTCAACATTGAAATACGTATAGTTTTTCTGAGCGGGTAGATTACTTATATGTTGGACAAAAATCTCGCGGTCATGATTCCATTGAAAACCGGTTTTCATAAACATATTTTCTATCCCTCTCTTTTAAGAATATTGAAGTTTGAAGAAAAAATGAAAGGAATTGAAAAACCAACCGGAGTTCCACCGAAAAGAGACTTGAGCAGTTTACCATAAATGATTTGTAACAATTTAATATTAACCTGAACTTTCTTTTAATCTTCACGTTCGTCACTATGTCTAAAACACTACATGAATTACTCCTTGTATAACCCATTTTTCAGACATACTCTAAATGTTTAAATTATATATTCATATACATTATGGCGTTGTAAATAAATAATTTTGTTTATTTTTATCGTGTATGTAATACGAACCATGGCGACGCTGAAAGATCTGGTAGACCGATCAAATATATTGATGTTGATTTGTGTGGTTGTCCAAAATCAATACTTTATGCCATGATGAACCTAGCTGGATTTCTTCCATGTCGACTCCCACTATTCAGTATCAATACCAAACCTAATGATAAGGAACACAAATATGCAGCTCAAACTTTAATAGTATCAGATTGTACTAACTCGTAAAATATGAGTTGATGGTAATTGAACCTTTCCGAAGCGCGTATAATGGAACAGAAGAAAAAACAAATTATTTCAAAAATCGTTTATTTCATTATACAATATATACTATTGCATTAAATACATTACAAAATCATATGTACATATATATAAAATGATTCTATTTATTTCATTAAAAAAGGAAACTCTACAAGTTAAAAAATGAAAGGTGTAAATAGAGATGAAAAATTGGCTAAGATAGAAAAGACTAGCTTAGGTACCGTTAAGTGTTGATTGAAAATTAAAATAAGCAAATGTAATGCAATGGTATGAAAGATAATAAAGCAAAACAAAAAATTCAATATTTAAATTACTTTGCTTAAGAAAGTAAGTAAGCACTAGAAAACATAGTGACGTTGCAATAATTAAATAATGACTAATTGTGAAACATTACAATATTTAGTAGAGTATTCTTAATCCATAGAAACATGTTAAATCAGCCATCATGAAGCATTATATGTGAATCTTACAGTAAATACATTGGCACTTCTGGTTAATCAATGAATGAATGAATGAAACTTTTCTAAATGTTATATAAAGGTCTCTATAAATGATTATATAGTAATATTTACATTATCGTTATCACAAAAAAGTAGGCATAATATTATGGGACAGATAGACTTTTAAAACTTGTTATATAGAACTCCAATAAATGTTAAAATAGATATTAAGTAGAGATTTAACATCACACTTGAAGCTCCTGCAATTCTACATTTCAACGTTTCGAATCTGAAAAGAAATAACAGAATGGAATTCATAAAAATCAAAAAAGGTCTTTTAAGTCACTATGAAACATTCCCATGTTGAAACGTTAATTTTTAATAAAAGAGCCAAAATCCTGTATCAAAAATACAAATGGAAAAGAGAAATGGCAACATACTGAATAGTAAGTTCAGAATGTGATTATTCCACTTAAATCATTTACAACACCTTAAGAACTATGTTCGCCTAACCTGTTTGGTTCGTTTCTCTTTAACTTTTTATACTCTTCTTCCATCGTTTGACCATCAAAGTACCAATTGAGATCATTAAAGGTATATTCATAACCTTGTCTACATACACATTTATATCCACCTCTGTCAAACCTTTTTCCTTGTAATGGTACACACTGAAATAGACAATGATAACACAAGTTAAAATAATATGGCTTACCAAATAAACATGCATCATACACCATTGACTATAACTGAGAACAGTTTTAAATGCCGACGCGCGCTCCCATAGTTGCACACAAATGAAATTAAAGCATTCATCAGAATCATAATTAGAAATAAACATGGAATCTGTAACATTAAATCAACAATATCACTACCCTCTATTCTAACAGAAATACAATTTACACAATCTAAGCTGTATAAGTTTTAAAGGGTACCATAAACTAACAGTGCTACAACGAATTGATTAGAGATAGATCTTGCGCTTTTATTTATAGAATACATTAATTTAGTCAAGATAACTGACAGGTGAACAACTGACAGGTGAACAGATTATATACTTAACGTTAACCAAACATAAACTGCACTTTAACTATACTTACATGTTCATTCAACTTAAAAGCTTAATTTCAAGGCAAGAGCCTGTTGATTTTTCTCAAAATCCTTTTTGACACCAGGTAACAATCACTGATTTTATCACGTGATTATTCCGCCAGTGCCAAGTAGGAGCAAGAGAGTTTGCATCAAAGAAAGAAAGAACACATCACATCGTGGGCATAATGATTTCAGTCTACAGACGCACAAAGTTCGTCTTCTCCCAATCCTGCTGTCGTACTTATATGAACGAATACTATGACATCTAGTATTTTATATCACATTTTAGAAACTTGTTTAGGCCTGTTATATTATACACAGAAAATTCAATTAAAACACTTTTAATAACCAAAAGCTGTTACCAATTCATATCTTTATAGACCGTAATGCCCCGTCGAGATTCAGCTATAAACTAACACGGAGAATTTAACTTCAACCATTTATAATGGAGTACAAGCCTAATCAAAATGATATTGTTAAATTCTTCCATTTCACTGAGCACAGATCATCCATAATAAACAATAAGTTTAGACAGATCCGCTCTTTTCACATAGTTAATACGCTTCTGATTAACAAAAATTTGTCTTTCTTATGAAAAATATGTTTTTGTGGGAATAAAAATGTCATTTAGCTATATTAAAAGATCCAAGAAACTTTCACTAATTAATAGATGATGTAGTATTACTGAAAATCACAATCCAACTTTCCTAACTCTTTTACAGAACAAGCCAACATATCAGTGAGCAGCATCAACAGAAGGAAATTATATTAAAGATTCTATTGAAGAATATGTCCACGGCAAAAGGTATGACGAAGAATGTGATATATCCGAAAACGATGAATTACATACCCTAACCAACCAAACCAAACAACAGAATCTACTGAACTGATTACCATCTGATAGAATCAAAAATGACTTACATATTGGGATTTATAGTGACATCTGGCCGTATTTTTAAAAGCATTTGGTACATGGAATTCTGATGGACATTGGTTGATATCTAAATAATCTAATTTTACGTCTACAGTTACGACACCCCTAAAATAACAAAATCATATTATTAACATTGATGTAACAAAATGAATTAAAGCTGTGGTATCAGTCAGAGAAATTGGTGACAGAAAATGCTTTTGTTATCGTAATATCATAATGAGGGGCGAAGGAAAACTTCCACGGGAGTGATACATAGTTTCAGTTTGAACATAAAATATGCGCTGGCTTGTGTACATCCAAGTTATCCCTTACAAACTTTAATAGGTCGAATGATGAACAGAAGCAAGATTAACTTACTTGAACTCAATTTTGGTCTTCAAGCTGTTTTTACCAAAGAATGGTACAACGTATGTTGAAACCCAATCATAAACTTTACCATCACATTTATACTGTGGTCTTAACCATTCTCCATCTTTATAATCAGGTGCTCTATAGGTGATCGGATAATATTCAAATCTAATCAAACTTGTTCCCTTTTTATCATTACGTATCATAGGTTTAGCCGTATATTTTTTCAAACCGTGTACATTGGTTGCCCATCTAGCTTTCATGTTCCTGAACCATTGATGGTCTGTGTAGAATTGTTCATATCCTGCGAAATCAATGGCTTTAAATTGATCCAAACCACCATCTTGTTTAACTTGTTCTCTCCAGGCGTATGGACCAAAAAACTCTCTGGTGATGCCATCAATAAACCTAGGATCGGTGTTGTTTACTGGTGGGGACATTCTAAATTGGTATCTATCAAAAAATACACCACTTCCCAAAAGTCTAAAGTCACTCATAACGTTGGCGATAACCTCAGAAAATATCTGGGTTTCATTTAACCTTCGGTCACCTTTTAAATCACCAAACTCTTCATATTCGTCAATATTCTGGAGGAAATTACTGAGGAAGTGAGCCAGGCGCAAGGCCGTTCGTCCTTGACCTTCAAACTGTTCATCAACACCATAGCCAACATCACCAGGAAGGAAAAGTTCATTTGGCAATTTACCATGACAGTTCTCTTTGTTTGTTTGATACTTTCTCTCCATAATATGTGTCATTCTAGTAACAGCTTCTTCGTCAATAGCTTCTCTCTTCTGCCTTCTTTTAGCAACTAACTTCACTTTGGGTTTAGGCGTTCTCTTTTCTCGTTCCTGTTCATCACGAACATGTTTCAAGGATGATATGAGTCGTCGTTTTTGTCGCTTGTTCAAGCGTGGACTGTAATTCAATGGTAACGTGTTCAGGAATTGATCCTTTTTCTTCAATACAGATCTCTTTTGACGTTCTACAAATTCAGGCATTACATTTGGCAGTACTTGTCTCTCTGGAATGAATTGGAATACATTTTAACTCCATAAAAGAGTAAAAATAACTACTTAAAAAAAAACTTTAAGGAATAAATAGAATTTAGAGTCTATAAAAGGCTGTTACCTTCAACAGCGATACAGTCAAATCCACCACCTTCATACTCTTCTCGTGTAGCCTCTTCAATCTCCAGACCAAGGAATGGACCATCATGATACCAAGGAAAATAGTAGCCAGGCATGCAGGCACATTGGTAACCACCTCTTCTGAATCCAAAACCAGACAATGGTTCACACTGCAATGATAAATGTAGATTATTTTTCACACGGTTATCACCAGGCTCAGTGGCTTTACTACAGTTGCGCACCCCCCTCCCCCCACTTTTCAATTTTTGAACATTTTACATAGTGAAAGAATTGCCTGTGGCCCCCCTAAAAATATTGTGGCCCCCCCCAAAAAAATTGTGGCCCCTGCTCGTAAAACCCCCTTCACCTAATGACCAACTCATGTTTTTGAGGTTGTTGTGGCTGTGGGGACAGCTATAATAGCTACAGTATCCTGTATTGTTTCAAGAAATAAAAATTGCATCATATTGTTTTATGAGAAATTATGTATTTACCAAAGTAGTTGGTCGACAACGAGCTGTACCAGCAAACATATTAGGCTCGGGATTTCCTTCTGCAATGGGACACTGATTCATATCAATTCTTTCAAATTCTATATCCATGGATGAAACAGCTACGAATCTGAAAATACACAAGCATATATAATTAATCTTTAATTCATTCTACATACTTCTCAAGATGTCTTCCTAACAATTAGCCTTAACGATAGGACATAACCTGAAGCATAATAGTAGTGAATAAATTGAAGCTATATGCCAAACCTTTATAGAATAGCTGGTAGCTCAGGTGTTGGTCAGGAAATAAGACTGGTGATAACATACAAATAGGGGCTCGCAAATTTCTTTTCAATTCCGGTTTGAGAATGATGATGTTGGAAAAGGGGGGAGGGGGTCATGAACAATATCCCTACTACTTTTATAAAAGTAATATAATGAGATCTTATCTATAGTTTATAGGGCCTCTCGAATGTCAACCGTTAACATATAACGGGCAGGTAACTCTTTATAATTATGAATATGACTCAGTACGGGAAATCTGTTTCGTTATACAATAAATCAAACAGGAAATGAATAATACCTGGCTCGTCGAAGATGTAACCATACTGAATATCTTGGCATGTATTCAACAACCGGAGATGTGGCACTAACAATCCATCTATTGGATCTATCACAGTCAAAATAAGGTGCTGTGAATCGTACAGGCAGATAATCTTCTTTATCCTGTTGACCAGGCTGCGGTGGACCAAAAAACGTATTTGATTCAAAATCTTCCCTAACAAACACACCAGTAGAATTAGAGGTCCTTATTCCCACCATATAAGTAAACTTTCTTAATGAATCTGTTTCTCCGGTTTTATCGGGTAACCAGGGATCATACCAGGGGTTATATTTATAATTAGTACTGGTATAATTAAACATTCTACCAGCACCATAGTCGTGTATATCTATTGTTCTATTTGTAGGCTCTCTCAGTAGATTTGTGGCTTCATTATAATCATCAGCTCGCCAGGCTCTCGGACCAAATAGAGGAAGGGTGTTATTAAACGGTACAGAAGATCTGTACCAATTAGGATAACTACAATTGTAGTCAAAATACAAAGCTGATCCGTTAATCCACCCCGGACTGGCAGAAACATCAGCAGCAGCCGACATGTATATATAACTCAATCCTGGTTGTGTTTCAAAGTCCCACGTTTGATTCAGTTTTTGATATACGAAACTGTAGAAAAATGCTCTATTTAGAGCCATATTATGTAGATGTAACAATGAAGATCTATTTCTATAAATAATCGTACTCAATAACATATTATAACGTGGAATTTGAGCAACACTTTCATCAGGTAACCTGAGTTCACTTTCAGCCTTTGCCCGACAATTTTGGGAATTTACCGACGAAAATTTGTCGTTTATCAAATCAAAATTATCAGGTCGCATCCATTCTAACGGCGCAGTTCCCACAATTGTTATTACTACTGTCACACTGAAACACAGCAAGAGAAAATCGCTCTTCTCCCACATTTTGAAATAATTAAAACGTTTCACCTTCAGTTCATCATCCAAATATTTCTAAATCCACAAAATACCAGTATTATTGACAAATACCGCACTATATACTGTATTCAATATGGCGGTAGCTGTCTCACCTTTTTAAATAAGGGACGCTGTGTTATATTGAGGTCACGCCAGGTATAGTGTTGTTGTAAATGGGTCAGGTAGATACGCTTCGATGGTTAAATGCAACTTGCCTTATACCCTGCAGCAACAATAGCTTGTTCAGTAAGGAAGCAGTCTCTCTGATTATAGTTCAATTCTTTATTTGCAAGATTTGATTAAAGGAAGATAAAGGTAATATCTAATTAGCCAGGTGAAAATAGTCGTCATGTTTTCCACAAGATGGCGCTGTGTAAGTATGTGTCACCACCGTGAGTCAGTTTTATGATCAACTTTATTTCACGGTTGAAAAAGTTTCACAATCCTATAGTGAGACAATTATTATTGTCATACAGTACATGTCAGGCGGTCTATTTTATAAACAAGAGTTATGTAGATTGTAGATAAAACTTTGCATCTAGAATGCATATTAAAATGAATACTCAAGTTTGATATATTGTACGTAAACCTATCTTGACATTATTATAACTATACAATATCTTGACATTATTATTTATAAACAAGTGTAGAATTAGCCGGAGGTTCAAATTCCCCCCAATATAAAACGAATTCTGATACCACGACCAGTGCTTCAGAGGGTCAACAACACTTGTAACAGTTTGAATTGACATTGGTGATCCTAGAAATGCATGTATTCAATAACCAGTTCTGTGTCAATGCTTATTTTGAAATGTAACCTCAAGAAATAAATAAAGGAAGGGGGTACCAGAAGTCACAAAAACGTGTGTATCTTTTACATGGAGACTCAGAAAAACTAGCAAAAGATTCGCCAGGACAATAAAACTTGCGTAATATAAACTGCAGCTAGAATTTTTGTGCATACGATGCACTCAAGCAAAGCATATAAAATTTCCTATTTATTTTAATGCAGTTCGGATGGGTCCACACTTTTAAAAAACCCCAACCTTCCGTAATCTATATTTTTAAAATGACAAGAAATTCACAAAATTGCTCAATAAACATACAGACGACATAATATGCACTCCTTAAGAAATATTACTGATAAATACTATAAACGGATATATACATGATTTTACGCTAGATAATAATAAAATATTATATTTGTTACAATACGGTAAATAAGAATGTGCTGTATTGAAGAAAAGTATTACTTAATAACTAGCCTGCACTTTTTAGTTCAAAATCATATAGGACCTACCCACACGTGGAGGGGATATTAGAGAAAGAAGCGATTAAAGGCATTATTTGATTCTAGAAACACCAAACGGTCGCTCTTAAAGGGACCGGTTCGCCATTTTTTTGGGGTGGAATTTCAATTTCCATTTCTATTTGTCTTTTCTGTAGTCTCAACTTCAAACGCGGATAATTCTGGACATACACTGATTTGAAGAATCAAATTTCGACAATGAGCTCTGAACATTATTACTGATTAGGTCCTAGCTTAGGTAAAAAAATCCCGTTTCTGAGACTAAAGGGACCCAATGGCGGAGACGTTGCCGCGACTGACGCGACTCATCAGTCGCAGCAAGTTCCATAAAATGGCGTGCACTCTCACCAAGGAGAGGAGACGTCTCCTAGCCAGACAGGATGGCAGCGTCTCCAATCACGCACTGGTCACGCGGTTTCCAACACGGCTCAAGCAACGTCGCGAGACGCGACAGTAACGTCGCTGCAACGTCTATTAAATCTGTAACAGGCCTCGGATACGCGGAGATATCGCAAAGACGCAGACAAATTTCGGAGACGTCTCTTCTCTCGCAGACGCCGCCGCAAATGATAGACACGTCGCGAAGACAAAGGGCCATAACTAAAAAATCTTCATCGAAAATTCGTGAAAAAACGAACTCATCCAAAATCTCATGAGTAAAGATCAAAACTGTAGTTTCTATTTCGTACACAAGCAAATGTAAAAGAATGGACCGTCGGGCAATTAATTAACGTCCGCATTATATTATGGCACATTGTACTTGTAGGCCTACCCTACACGTTCGAGGAGGGACGGGTCGAACATTCAAAGGTTCAAGTGTATTCTGTAGTCCAATTGTCTTGCCTAGTGAATGAAATCGAAGGGCAGCTCACGATTACATAGCATAGTCATGGTCGAGACTTGTATTCTGATGATGTAGGCCTATCACATGAAAGTAACATGACCATAAACCCAATCATTGTTATCATTATGAGAGCTTTTAAAAAGGTAACACGTATCGAGTTATGTCCCTTTAGTGCGTCGAAACCTAGGTTTTCTCCTAGTTTCTATTTATAGATATTATTACCTCGTATCTTGTTATGATTTTAATTTGTATCAAGTTGTGTTTTAATAGATATCGGTATAATTTTATGCGAACAATAACAATGAAACGAGAATATAGCGATGATGTGCCAGAAATTTCCAATGTTAAGTAATAAGGAAAGAGTTATGTCCCTTTACAACTTTGCAATCAAATTTGGAAAAGTGAATTTACCAAATAATTTCATGGACCTCAATGTATCTTATTAAGAGCATTGGATGTAGCATTGAATGTAGATGTAACCAATGTGCATTTTACTCTGTAATTATGTTGTCTATAATATTTGAGGTGGTGGTCTGAATCCAATCGTCAAGGGGGAACAACTCTTGTCGTAGTAAACAAAAAGAAAACAAAGTGAGGAAATGAAACATTATTTTAGTCACAATAGTCATACTCTAATTTTATATGCTATTTTTCATCGTATATACTTGCGAATGCAATCTTTCATAAGAAAGTCTTTTCTTCTGTTTTAATCCCGTAACGTAATTGGTGATAAATAAACAATTAGTATTATGACGCCTCATTTCTCAAAAATGTGCTTCTGAAATGCATATGGTAGCATCATAATATGGTGGCTTAGCTATTTAGTAAGTCAGAAATTGAAATAGATAATTTTTTGCTGAATGTCATGTGTTCAATACCGACATGCGTTACCTTCAGAAGAAGTAGGTGCGTGTGGCTTTCACAGTACAGGCACCTAATTTCTTACTACATTGTGTGAGCTTTGAATATGAGATTGAGAGATCGGCCATAATGTCATAATGCACAACTTTAACAGTTGTAGGAGCCGGTTGTCCTACCAATTGCCCTACCCAAGTCATGCATGTGTTCCATTTTGAGCTTATCACGACTAAGCTGATTTCTCCAATTGATTCTCATTTAATAAATATTCAAAATCAAATTTTCAAGTGTATAACATTTGTTTTAGAATGTTTCGGATCCAAAGAAATATAAGGTTCGGTTTTTTTATATTTGAAAATATCCATATATCAAGATACATATGTCTACTCTAAGTAGGATTTTTTATTTGTCAATTGAAATATCTTTTTTTAGAACCAGAATGAGTGAATCTTTACCAGCCATAAACATTGAAGAATTGACAGATGCAGTCAATGCTGTCGTCAACATGAAGCAGAGGAACATGCAGAAGAAATCCTTTAGAGACATTGCTCCACATACAGACTCAACTACTATGCCTTCATATCTCTTCACAAATGATAATACTACTCCTTCAAATAACTGTAAGGATATTTTTGTTAATAGAAGTGAAAACTTGTAAGAAATTTAGATTTTGTTAATGTTTGTATATTTTTGATATACCAGTATTTCATTAATTATATATTTGATATGGAATCCTTTTTTAATGTTATTCACCCACAACTAAAGTGACAAACCAAAATCTTGAGTTATCATTATTTCACTACTGGAAGGCTACCTTAACTTTTACACAGCCAACAACCCAGATAATATTAAAATGTCTTATATTAATTTCTGATTTAAATATAATAATGTAATAATGTCACTATTATAACATTTGTTTGTTGTAAGATTGTCCAAAATTCTTCTAATTTATTTATAGATATTGTTATGAATCCTACAGAAAGTAAAATACCTGTCATGGTTTCTTTACAACCATCACCAAATAAAAGTAAGGACCAAGATTTACCTTTCCAATATAATTATCTAATTTTGTTTTAATACCATTAATCAAATGTGATATATTAAATTTTATCACATTTTGCTTATGCACAATTTAGTTCAATTTTGTATTACATTTAATTGTTTTATTTATTTTTCAGTGGAAGCTTTATGTTTATCCAATTTAGAAGGCAGCTATAATAAAGTTTCTTCAGTCAATGATATTCAGACAATTGCAGGTAGTTTTTTCTTTTTGAATGATTTGAGGTTTGAAAATGTAATTGGAAATTAATGATATTCCACCCAGTTTTCAAGTGATACAAAATCAGATAATTTGAAATGGAAACTGTTTAGTAGTTTCAGTTGATCAAAACCCTCAGTACTGTATGTAATTGACAATTAAGGGCATGTGTACATTTTATAATTCCCTCATGATATACTGTAGAATATTGGCTGTGTGTGGATTCGTAATACTATTTAATATATTTTCAGGATCGAGTATTCCACTTTCAGTGATATTGAATGGAGAAACACCCTCACTAGTTGATATAAATAATCAACCATTACCTCCCTTTACAACTCAAACATTCTGTAGTCAGGGTTCAACAGATTTATCTAACTTAGATTCCAGTCATATATATAATACCTCCAGTCAAACAGATATCTCCACTGCACCACAAGTAGGATATTTTACATATGTATTAGTTATGTAAACTATTGGATAGCTTGAAGTTCTATAATCTAATCTCTTCTATGAGAATTGTTCTGGAGCAGCTAGGTAGAGCTATACTAAACTAGTGTCCAAAAGAAACAATACCGCCTGTTTGCAACGACATAAAAGAAAAACTAAACAATGCAGAAGTTTAGGATTGGTGTTATGCTTTTGAGAAATCCTTTCACAACATCTGTACAAAAATTTCATTTCAATAAAATCTGTACAACCAATATGACAAGCCTTTAAAGATGGGTGGGGTCGAAAAAAGAACATTTCGTTAGAGCACTGATCACAGAAACAACGGGAAATGTCACACCACACGTCACAAAGTCAAGTCAGTAGCGGGTATGTCCACCGTGAGCATCAATACATGCCAGAACACGCCTACGGACTGATGCCGTCAAACGTCTGATGATGTTGGGAGTGATGCGTTGCTATTCCTCGAGGAGACATCGTTCCAAGTCCTGGACGTTGACTGGAGGCACATGGCGACGTCGGATTTGCCGATCGAGGTGGTCCCATAAGTGCTCGATGGGATTCATGTCCGGTGAACATGCGGGCCATGGCAAAACCTGTACGTTGGCGTTGGCAAGGAAGTTCTGTGTCAATCTTGCTGTGTGTGGCCTTGCATTGTCATGTTGGAAAAGGAGTCCACGAGGCTGTTGCTGAATAAAGGGCACCACAACAGGCCGTAGGATGTCATCAATATAACGCTGTGTTTCACGAATTACGACAAGCCTCATATGCCACCCCAAACGGCCGGACCTGATGGATACAGTTAGGCGCCAAACGTTCACCAAATCGTCGGTATACAAGCTGCCGTCCATCGTTTTTGAAGATGATAAATCTGCTCTCATCAGAGAACATAAAACGTGCCCAGTCCCGCCTGGCCCAGATCAGTCTGTTGTTCCGGTGTCGAGGCGTCAGGAGCGGTCCGCGGTAGGGATGACGTGGCCGGATACCATACTGCCGTAGTCTCCTGTAGACGGTCTGTCGACTGATCCTGTGTCCCAGTGCTGTAGCCGCCATGGACGTCGCTGCTACGGTGCGGTTCCTCAGGTGTAATACCCGGATGTAACGATCTTCACGGGGCGTGGTTACTCGTGGTCTTCCACTCCTGGGCCTGTCTGACGTCTGACCTGTCTCACGTAACCGCTGCATCAACCTGGTGATAGTGATGCGTGCCTTCTAGCGACGTCGACGTGTGTCGCTCCTTGTTGGACCATTCCAACGGCTCTCTCTCTCTCGATGGCTGTCAAACGTGGCATATCTTGTGTTCTTTTTGTTGCTGTGATATCAACGTGTTTGATCAGCCGTTTTATACAGTTTTTATGCAAGTGCAGAACATGCTAGAGAGGGAAATGTCACTTTCACGAAATTTACGTTTTTTCCCGGAAGTGATCACGTGTTCCCGGTATTTTTATCGACTATGCTGTGTTTGGGATGTGCAATACGAATTGGCATGTTTTCATATTAGACAATTCACTTAGTAAAAAACAATTTTGAAAATAAGTTGGTATCGTTTCTTTTGGACACTAGTTTATATTCATGTCATATAATCATCATAGATAAGTAATAAGTATATTTATATAGTAACCCTATTATCGGAATATCTCTTTAAGTAGTAATACAAACTAGTTACTTTCAGAACAAATGTTGAGATATAAGTGTGGAATATAAGTGTTTAGAAAAAATACAGATTGTAGATGTTCATCATTCATTTATATTTTATTGTATTGTTCTATATCTGTACAGATTTATTTTTAATTTGACAAGTAATAGTAGTTGTTTAATTGTATAATGTTTTTGGAAGAAATCAGTTGGTGTTTTAAACCATAGACTTGAATCCATCCATAAATAAGAGCCAAATATTATGTGTATTTCAGGTACAAACATCATCACCATCTACACAGTCTGCTTTATCAAATTTAATATTCTCTCCATCTGACACTAATACAACATCTAGATTCTTTATGTCTAGTCCATTACCAATATTCTCAGTAGATACTCCCATACCTAGTGTTAATAGTTATCTACCTAGACCATCTAGCGTAGTATCTAATATCAGTGGCATCTCAGGTAAGATCTAACTTGCTCTATGTTTTAAGTCTAAATATGTGATATTTAAACACCCATTATATAATAGTTATACTGTTTTTTTTGTATAAAATAAGATGATAAAAATCTTATAGTATTCAATAATCAGAATGTAAAATGATTAATAAAGCGTAAAAAGGTTTCCATAATTCATTATTGTAAGAAATATATCATTAGAAATCCTTAATTATTATCTATTATGGTTTCAGTGTTTGATTCTTTATTAAAATCACATGACAATGGTCAGTTTTTAGCGCCTTTACCACCAGTAACACCTGACAAGACATCATCCAATACACCAAAACCTAACAATAATACGGCTTCACAAGAATCACAACGACAGTCTATTTTACCAGATTACTGTAAGTGTGGATTCTTTATCAATATCATATATATATATATACTGAAACTAATATATCATGGGTCATGATGCTAGAAATTATATCTTGATTGCTTTCAATAAGGATATTTCCTATCAAAGAACTTGAATTATATTTTAAAGATAATATTTATTTTTATGACAATGTATGCAGTAAGGCTGGAATGTATAAAGGTTATAGAAACAGTTGTATATTTGAGTAGTAATGTATGTTATATGTTATTTTATATGTATCCAAGGTTAGGTTAGTGGATCAGAATTTCTGGCATAAATGTCAAATTTGAATCCTCAAAATGTACAATTGTTTGTCAAATGATCTGAAAATAACAACTGTACATTACAATCTTTTGAAAACCAAGTTTTTAATTTAGAATATCAACTCTATTATATTATAAGTAGTTTATAATTGAATTATTTGCAGACTGTGTAACGTGTGCTAATTGTGTTTATACTGAATGTCAACATCATCCATGTGACTATAAAATTATAGGAGATAGACCTGTATTATCTCGAGCTGTACAAACATTACCTGAACATTTTACATTAGAACCATCCAAAATATCTGGTCATTTTAAAGATCTAGGTATGTAATTTTATTGTAATTTATGATTTGTTCAAATGATTTTATAAAAACATTCAATAAAATTACACATGGTGATAATTTGGTATGAGATGGTGATGAGAACATAGTCTCATGAAAGAACTGGCCTAGGTCACGAAGTAAAGATTTATGATAAAACAAGGTGCAAGTTAAAGGTTAAAATTATTATAGTCAAGCATATCTATCTCTGATCCAAAACATAAACACAAGTAAACCTCTAGACTATTTGGCTGTTTAAGGGGCAACACACCGTAAGCCTAGTTTCAAGTAGCTTTTATTGTGTTCAAAACTATAATGTCCTGCTTAAGTTTGCAATTTGTATTGAACTGGGATGAAAACAAATATATTTGCTTGACTTTAATTAAAGGGATTGAAAGGAGGTTTTCTAAAAATTTTATGTGTATTTGGGACACTGATAGCATCAATTTGTACCATGCCAATTTTCAGTCAGATGTCTGTGGTGCCTGCAATTCCACAAAAAAGAAGTGTTTGATGACATCACTAATAGCAGATTATTCTGTATTACATAAGGCCCTTAGCTTTGATCAACATTATCAAACACTTAGTTTAAGTGGACTTGTAGGAACAACAGACATCTGATTGAAAATTGAAATGGTGAAAATTGATGTTATCAAGGTCCCTGATACACATAAAAAAAACATTAGAAAACTTCTTTTCAATCTCTTTAAGAAATTTTATTACATAATTTTCACATAAATATAACAAAGTTATCTGTGAATTTCAATATATTTTTTCTCACCAACTTTACTTACTTTATGTTAGGTAAGTATTGCTAAAAAGATTTACTTATTGATCAAAAGTTATTCATTTCTATGAAGCCATACTGTAAAATTTTCTTATCAGGTATTTTTGCGAAAGATTTCATTCCAAAGAAGATTCAGATTGGACCATTAGTTGGCACGAGAATGAGTGAAGGTGTTATGTCAGAGATGAATGTGTTTAGACATTGGAAGGTAATAAGATATGTACTTGATAAACTGTTTGTAATTGATGTAGGTCGGCAAGGCTGAGACTTTTTTTGAAATACAGAGCCAGACATCAATTGATATTCTTCTTTACATTGATACTTTCACACTTTCAATTAATATTATACTTTGATATTGATTGATATTAATACTTTATCTACAATAAATCAATATACAACACAATATAATATAATATTCAGAAGAGAATAATAATCATAATTTCCTATGTTATATTATAGATATTTTATAAAATAGAAGATATTAAATATGATATTATTGATGTATCAGAAGAGAATAATAATCATAATTTCCTATGTTATATTATAGATATTTTATAAAATAGAAGAAGATATTAAATATGATATTATTGATGTATCAGAAGAGAATAATAATCATAATTTCCTATGTTATATTATAGATATTTTATAAAATAGAAGATATTAAATATGATATTATTGATGTATCAGAAGAGAATAATAATCATAATTTCCTATGTTATATTATAGATATTTTATAAAATAGAAGATATTAAATATGATATTATTGATGTATCAGAAGAGAATAATAATCATAATTTCCTATGTTATATTGTAGATATTTTATAAAATAGAAGATATTAAATATGATATTATTGATGTATCAGAAGAGAATAATAATCATAATTTCCTATGTTATATTGTAGATATTTTATAAAATAGAAGAATATTAAATATGATATTATTGATGTATCAGAAGAGAATAATAATCATAATTTCCTATGTTATATTGTAGATATTTTATAAAATAGAAGATATTAAATATGATATTATTGATGTATCAGAAGAGAATAATAATCATAATTTCCTATGTTATATTGTAGATATTTTATAAAATAGAAGAAGATATTAAATATGATATTATTGATGTATCAGAAGAAAATAATAGTAATTGGTTAATGTTTATGAAGCCAGCTAGGAACAAAGAAGAACAAAATGTGATAGCATACCAAGCCAAAGATTGTATAATGTTTGTGACTATTAAAGATATTGAACCACAAGAAGAATTGTTATTCTGGTATTCTAAGGAATATGCTAAACATGTTGGTAAGTCACAACCATTATCCTGCATATTGTCATTTTTTAGACAGGAGATGTCTTGCAATAAGAAATATTGTGGGATATTATTGTTCAAATTTCTATAGAACATTTTAGAATGAAAATCCTGCATCTGGTCATCTACAATTAAATAAATGACAATTATCTAAGCTGCCAAGATGACCTACATTTTTTTAGCTGGAGTGTTATTGATATAGTGATAATGATATTCAACATTTATATGTTGCAGGTTTTATGCCGAAACCAAATCGTCTGAAATATTGTCCTTATTGTACAATATGTGATGATATTTTCCCTGATAGAATGACATTATTAAAACATCAGAGACAAAAACATAATGAAATACCAATTAAAAATCACAAATGTCAGTATTGTGATAAACCATTTGGAACCATGGGAAAAGTGAAGAGACACATCATTACTACTCATACTAATATAAGACCATTTAAATGTCTGCAATGTGGAAAAGAGTTTGCTGATAAAAGTAATTTACGAGGCCACGAAAAAATACATTCAGGTAGTTTTTGTATCACATTTCTCTATTTGTACAAAAATCTTTGGTTCTATCTGATATATTTTTAAAGCTTTCACCAGTAAACACTCTGCTTCCAACAATTATATCTCTTTTAAAACACCAATCTGTTAAAGGGAAGATTATATATTATGTTGATGGCAATCATGTTTTATATTTTACAGGTGAAAGGCAGTTTAAATGTACTCTATGTGAGAAATCATTTCGACAAAAGGCTCATTTAACATCTCATATGTATATTCATACTAAAATAAAAGGAGTGCCATGTCCTCATTGTGATAAAATGTTCTCTCGGAAAGCAGATATGATGCAGCATACTATCGTACATACTCAAAAGAAAATATATCAATGTGAACAGTGTAGTAAAATATTCTATAAACAACAGACATACAAAAAACATCTCAGAATTCATACCAATGAGAAAAACTATGAATGTGAATCATGTCAGAAAAAATTTCATACCAAATATCATCTACAACGACATTTTAAAAGTTGTAAAAATTTAAAGATGAACACAATGTTAGATAAACTAAGTGAAAGACATAAAGATAAATCAGAGGAAAACTCAATTTGTATTAAAGCTTTAACTTCCTGTCAACCTAAAATATCATCCAACCATTCTAATAATAACTGTGATAATATTAATAATATACTACCATCCTGTGATACATTTACTATGAATTCTCTACATCATTATAATATAGGACTAGTTGATACTGGTATATTGAATACTATGAGTAATAATGCAGGAGAATGTAATAGCCATCATCAAACCACTAATACATTACCTAGTATATCACATGTAGTTCATAATACCACTACTAATTTATTGTAAGGTATCTTACTGGCTGGAGGTCTAGTGATTGATCCTGTTGTTATGAAGACAGAAGGGCTGAAGATAGAAGGGTCTGGTCATACATATTAGATGAGAAACTAGAGACCCTTTGTACTGATTTGACAAAGCTTGTCTCAGCAAACTGCATTGCTTTATACAATTTCATTTAACTCATATGTTCCAAATTGTTTTTGTTATAAATAAATAGAGTTTAAGGATGTTATCAGAATAATTTTCTTGTGGATGATAAATTGAACTCAATTCAATGGGGTCTACAACCAGACTAAATTTATCATTAATTTACATATAAATACATATATCTATTAATGACAATGGCAAATTTCAATTCGCTTCTCAATATTTTATTGGATCAATTAAGTTTGCCTTCATATATATTTAATGTATGTCGCCATATTATATGTGGATCAAGACATTTAATTTATTCATCAGCAAAGTTTCCATCAGTTATTATGGAAAGGATTTACAGTCATTATTTCTTTTTACTTTCCCTTTGTTTCAGTATTTGTTTCCATCAATTTGGTATCAAAATTCAGAGAAAAGGATTTTGGCATGTAATCTTTGCTAGCTAGATATCTGGAATATTTTTTTCCAATTTTCTGGTTTTCTGGACTTTATTATATTAAAGTTTATGACTCAGTTAAATTGACCGTCTTAAATTCATAGATATAACTTGGTTAACATATGAATCATTGAAATATATTTCCTTATTGAAATGAGGAAAATCTTAAAGAAAGGAACAAGTCACAAGAATACAAATATGTTTTTCCTCTTAATATTGATGTTGTTATTTAGGTAGGTAGATAATTTTCCTCATACTAGAAGTTGACATATCCATCATTGAGATGTCAATTAATCAGTGATTATCAATACGTCAGAATATTAAGATGTTTATATAATATATATCTTAATTACTGCTGTAACATCTAATAACAAAACAACTGGTAAGAAACTCATTTACTTCTATCTTATCTTTATCTTGCAAAATATTACATTAGTCTTTTCATATTTGACATGAGCAATATTCCACATTACAATTAATTTTTCTCATGAAGGTTAAGTTTTTGGCATTTAAGGGATATCAATTATGGGTTTTAACAGCCACTATAAATATGACTATTTTGTTTCCTTCAATTTGTTTTTCCTCAATAGATAGGCTTGTTTCTGGAAATGAAACAAACCACAATGTTACAATGAGTAGAATAGATAATGATAACAGTACAGTTAATACAACTTCTACCCATCTTACTAGCAGTCAGCCCACAGGTTAGAAAAATTCTTTATTTCTCTGTTAGACAAGTTTAATGACAGTAGGCTAAAGCATTAGTAATCTTCATTCAAAGCATGATTAATTATCTAAGTAGACTTCCACTAGTGGCAATCTTTATAGTGTAGGTAATTTAGATGTTGAAATGACCATCAAAAGAAAAAAATTTTTTCCATACACTTACAGAAGATATCGACTTTGAAGGTCAACAGTTGTTAAAATTCCAACTTAATAAAATTACTAGTATAAATGAATGCTTCAAAGGACATTATAAACCTCACCACCTTGTCATTAGTAACTACATTTACTACAGTCTGCATTGACGCATTACTGAATTTATACATTTACGAAGCATAGTTTGTCTGTGTTTTGAGTATGATGTTATGAATATTTAGTTACCTACAGGTAAACCATGCAGGACTGTAAATGATGAAGCAGTAACATCATTTGATATGTGACCAACATGTTCCACAGTAATAGATAATTAAAATCTAACAAGTCACCTCTTAGTGCAATAGTTAAATGGAAATGCAATAAAGCAAAGATACAAGATTGAATACTTTTGGAAGGAGAAGTATTGCTCTATCATTGATAGATTATACTGTCAGTATATTTATATTCTAGAAGAAGATGATTTAAGTTTGTTATTATCCTATATAAGTATTGGTATTAGTGGATTAACTTTAATATTAATTACTATATTAATATTTATTATATGTAGTAGGTTAGTATATTTTATTAAACATAGTTTGCCAGGCAAGGTAATATAAGTCCACTGACAGCTCTTATTTCTAATAAGATTCATTATTGACAATTTTCCTAAGTCTCATTTAAATCTGTCAATAATGACTCTTTCTAGTGTTTGCCACTTGTTGCGAATGGCAATAACTTTCCAATCAAATTGAATTCGAAAGAGTTCATATTTGAGTGATGATAAACTATTTCACAATATTCTGTCAAAATCCATCAAGAATTGTGCTTTCTTGTCTAATTTCGAATGTGTTTTAATGAACAAGAGCAATCAATCATATTCAACCTTTTTCGGATTTTTAATGATATTCAATAGGATTCATCCTTGAGTGATAATAAACAATTTCATTAAGTTTTGTAAAAACCTGTGAGTGAGTGTTAAAGAGCAATTGTGGATGGATGGACAGACAGTCAGACACATAGATGGGTGGGCATGGAAGACAGCGATATACATAGAACATATATTAAAAGGAGTCCGCAGAATGAACTTGCACGAGTCCAATAGCGAACAAGTAACGTGAGGGAAAGTTGAAAAGAACTTTGAACGTGAACGTGAATTACTGAGTTTGTTTGATCAAAAGCTTCAGCTTCAAGAAATTTGTATCCTACAAATAAAATAAGGTTTTTCAAATCTTTGTTGAAGCTGAAATATGACCTGTGACATTCCAGAACTAATGAAATGAAATGAATTACTGGTAGAACTTTTTGTGTGGATAATGAACTCTTTTCTAAATGCTGGTAAGAAAACAGGGAATATTTTATTAGAGTATGCATGTTTTAAGTTAAGTTATTTATCTTTCAGAAGAAAAAAGAAAAATGTCCGAGCCTATAAACCACACCTGACAGGAAGCTATGTTCTGAAAACTAGACGACATTATGATACAGAGTATAATTCAGAGAATTCTGGTCTTGATAATTCCATTGATGGAATCAATTCACACCAAAATATATCCAGAAAACAGACAAATGACTTTAAAAGAACTGAAGGTAAACCAGAAATGAGAGAAAAACAAGATCTGGATTATGCTAATGAAGAAATGATGGCTAATAATAGACATACAATATATAATGATAGAGATTTAGAAATACTGAATAATGACTTCTATGTCTGTTCTGGATTATATCATTAGATTTATTCAAACATTTTGTTGTAGATTATATGATTGAAGATTAAATTATTTAAAGTTCTAGTTACAGGGCTCACTCTAGCAGACAGTAGTTGAAAACTAAGGGACTGTGGCATTTGGCAAATGCAGAGTAAGCTGTGTTTAAACATGGCTGCTGACACCATACATTCACATCTAGAGATCTTCTTTTAACATAAAATAATCAAATGTACTTACTGACTTCCTTATTCACATAATAATATTTAAGGTCTTTGTTGTTTCAATATGCAAGGACAAGGATTAAAAAAAAACTACATATATCTCAGTGTAACATTTCTGTTTACATCTTCAGAATTAATTAATTAAACAAATACATGTATAGCAATTTTATTATAACTTCACAAATATAATCTTAAGATTAACATGATGGTTTATTTGTACTTTCTTAAGAAAACAGCAATTTAGATGCAGGATGAAACCTCAACAATATTATTTTCCAATAAATTTTTCTGAGTTTATAACTTTCTATCACAGTCAATTTAGTTTGAAATTTGAATCATAATATTTTTATAAACTAATTACATTATTAAACATGATTATCAGCAGTAAACTTTATATCACATCTAATTCTTTTACCTTTCCATTATTTACTTAAGAATAATTGCAAGCTCAATTAATATCCAACTTTTCTATTATGAAAAAAATTAATGATTTCATATACATTTATGTGTTAATAAGTTACTACTAGTACCAAACACAGCTACAAATTTGTTCATGATTTGCAGTCAGAGGTTTTTTTGGTCTTGTTAAGACTAAAGAGTTAAGTATCATACATCATCAAAATTTAAATCACTTAATTCATCTTGAAGTTCTGTATTAACTTGAGCCTCAATATCTGATGGTATAACATCTAAACATAGGTCATATTGCTGATCTAAACCTAGGTATGAATCACTCATAATATATACAGTATAAATAACACGACCTGTAGTCTCAGGTGTAGATAAAGCTAGATTCACTGTTGTTTGTCCTCGATTATAACCAATACGTTTTAATGCTAGTACTTCTTTCGATTCTACATCACCTACTATAATCATCCAACCTTCATCTTTAGGCTTAGGAAACCTACTCATACACACTTTACTATCTCCTCTCTAAAAAAGACAATCAAAATCAGGGTTTGGTGTAGGTATCTACCAACTTGCATGATGAAAATCAAACCTAGAAACACTTCCTGAAGTTAAATCCAAAAAGGAAATACATGTATATACATTTCTGCATGTTAAATTATTAATGAAATTTGCCTAGAATGATAGTTTATTATGAATTGTATGTTCAATTTTGGGATTAACAGTAACAGTTACCTTAGCTTTTTTATTTCTATACAATTTAATATGTAAAGCATATTCTTGATCAGCATGTACTTGTATCCAATCTTCATCTTTACGCCTTCCACCTAAAATATTGATTAAAAAATATAATTTAGATGACTGAAAATGAGCTTACGCTTTCGGCAGTACCCACTGTAAAGGGATTCTAATGGGCAGATATGGCCTTTGCCAGGATCAAACTCAAATTAATAAGTGGTAATACCTGATTGACAATGAAACTATATAAAAATAATTTTGATTTTTCCTGAAGATACTAAATAAAACAAACCTTTATGATGTATATTAAATGTTTTTTCTATCTGTGTAGATTGACCAGCCCACCACCCTTTGATAGATATATTTACATTTATTTGTGGTAGTTGAGACAGAGCATTGTAGACCTAAAATAACAGCAATATATAATGTCAAATATACAATGTTAATATACAATCTCAATAACATTAAAATGTGCAGTACATAAGCCATATATGGTGACAAATAATTCTCCTATGAACAGGTCTTTGTGAATGCTAACTGTTGACCGAACCATAAAGATTTTAAGTTCATATCAAAAGTAATATATAATCATATTATTTCCCAAATTTCTATTGTATTATTGTTAAAATTCTTATACAAAGTGGTTTTTTCATAAATGCATATAGATAACATAAAATTTCACATTCAGGCATTTTACATACCTGATTGATATTATTTGGATTCATTTCACCTTCTAACATGGTTGATAAATGTTCAAATTTTCCATCACAAACTGACAATAATTCTGGTAGTGTTTCTATTGGTGCTTTTATATCAGGATATCCTTTCTTCTTGGCACCACCACCACTCTGTGGTCTGTTGCAAAAAAAGTTAATAACACAAACAAGTAATCATATTAAAATTTTGTTTGTTGATATTTTGTTGACTGCAGTAATAATTGGTAACATGATAATCTATCCATTAATACATGTATAATTTTAAGAATATAACACTCACCTAAAACAATATATATGATATGGCGTAATACATGGTAATTGTAACAATGTACTATCATGGTACCATCGTCCTTGTATAATCATTTGTATTAATACTATAACTTGTAATGAAGTTATTAACCATCCTTGATCAGCACTAACATCTAACATAGCCTAGAAAATATCAGTAATTATATAACATACAATATCAACATTTATATACATATCTAAAGTACCATTGGTTACTGGCCTCATATTCTTGAAACAATCTTAGCGCTAGTGTTTTTACTTATAACACTGTTTCTAGGATGTCCTAGTGCCAAGATCATAATGAGAATATGTGGCCAGGTTATCAAGAATCTCAACCAAAGCTCAGTTGTGCTCTTGAGTCACAAGTATTAATAGCGAAATATAGTAACTTAGATGAATAAAGTCATGATTTTTCTACAGTTGGCAATTATTTTCATCAGATAGTGTGCTAAATTAGAAATAACTTGAAAACAATTTTTTGGGTATTTTAGTGTAGAAATTACAAATTAAACAGTGTACAAAGTAAAGTTATTTAGATATCAATGGTTTAATTAACTCTTTTGCAGCATTATATAATACAATAACTAAATAAATACCTGTAATATACGTATAGCCTGATCTAAAACAGATTTAGTATCTGTATGATAATCTGTTGAAGGAAGTTGTATCTGACAGAAATGAGCTTGAAGTAAAATATTTGTTTTCGTATGTGATGAGTCATATGAATGTGGATTTACTTCTAGTGGAACTCTCTGAGCTAAATCACTGAAAAAAAAAAGTTGTATATAATAATAATAGTGATTTTAGAAAAAAAGGGAAGTAACTATCATTAGTGAAAAATTGAACACAAGTAAACAAATATTCATCTTTTATACATTTTGTCAACATATAAGATTTGTTTGAAGCAAGATTAAATCTTTAAATTTATAATGTAAAACTATTTATTAATTTTGAAACATTAAAATCAGATTAGAAGCAAGAAGTAATGAAATACCTGTTAATCTGATCTTCATTATGACGTACTGGAAGTTGAGCATATTCTGTAGCATTCTGAATTATTATAAAACAAATGGTCAAAGTCAATGGATTTAAATAATATTTTGAGACTTGCAATTTCATTTTCTTCTGCAAAACCCCAAACTAATAGGATAGAAAATAATAGATCTTATTTATCCTTGAAATTAGTATGACAATCTGAGCTTACCTACAATTGTCCAGATATCAAGTTTTTTCTCAAGATATTTTTAAGTCTACTTTGGGGGGTTGATTTGAGACTTGAATATATGTAAATAGTCTTGGTGCTATTACTGTACGAAAATCACATAATTCCTTCAAAAATATCTCTAACTAGGAATTTATTTTCCTATTTCTATAGATGTTTTTTTCTATATACATATGTCAGTGTCTCAAATCATCTTTCTAACTTTCAAATGTGGATAATTCTAGACACATATGGATTTGAAGGCTCAATTTGGACGGTGCGCTGTGAACACTATATTACTGATAGGCTTAGCTAAAAGAATTCCTGTTTCTGAGACTCAAGAGACTCATGATTGTCCCTTTAAGTAAGTAAGCAGATTTATAATATACTAATAGGAAAAACTTGATGAAAACGTAAGTATTTACACAGTAAATTAAAACATAAAATTGGAAATACATGTCTTACTTACAGCCAATATCTCAATCAGATCAGGAATGGTTGAATCTGGTCTCAATTCATCACAAAACATTCTAACAGTATTATGGTTTAAATAATAATAGGATGAGATTTTACCTAGTGTTAATGATTCAATAGCACAATTATCCTAGAATATAAAAATAAATTACACTGAATAATGAAATTAAATCTTGGTGATTCAACACTCGAAATACTGGAATAGGAATTTATATCATACAGCTTCAGTGAGTTCACATACGTCACTTAAATATGGAAATGTTAGAAGCATTGTGCCCATATCAAATTAAGCTTTCCTGATGATGCATTTTATATCTGAAACAGCCAAGGTAAGTTTAATGGATTATCAACTTTTATAAAATGCTAAATTATCAGCATACTGTCAGATGCAATCATTACCTAAGAACACTTTGAAATTTTTCACATTACAATGTTTATAAAGATAAATACTGTATTTGTATATTTGTTCAGGAGTTATAGACAATATGATAAAATATTACCGAGTACATACCTCTCCTATTTCTATACAATACGAACATTGTAATTCCATTAAAGCTTTTTCCACCAAACATGATAAAAACTTGTTAATGCTATCAAAATCTGTATTGTCTAAATTGTAGTAACTGAAAAGAGAAAAATATAAATATGAAAGATAGCTTGCCAGGCAAGGTAATATACGCCCATTAGCAGCTTTAATTTTTGAATAAAAATATCTAGCAGTACAGTAACAATCACCAGTATGAAATATTCAACCTTCAGTCATACACTTCTTCTGAACTCTTTAGGGCGATACTGAATAATATTGAGTATGAGTTATTGCCCTTGTTCTTGAAAACGTGTTCAATTTTTAGCTTGTGAAAACTCTAGAAGGCAAATATTCAATCTTCAGCGCGGGACTGAATAATAAAACCAAGTTTTGTCAAAATCCAGAAAAAATCATGCCTTTTAGTGTTTAAGAGCTAAATTTGACAGCGTTTTCAAGACCAAGGGCAATAACTCATACTAAATATTTTTTAATTCTTCTGATTTTCAATAGGGTTCATGCTTGGGTGATTACGAACATTCACACCAAGTTTCGTCAAAATCCGTTAAGAATTGTCCCTTCTAGAGTGTTTACAAGCTAAAAATTGAACGCGTTTTCAAGAACAATGTGTAAAACACATGAACACCATGAATATTTTAGGAATAATAAGCTCACAAGTGCCATTTCCAGTGGTCTGAGACAAGGGAAGGAGTTTTTATGTAAGAACTTTCACAAACTATATCAATTTTCAAAAAGTTTTCAGACTAGTCAGCCAGAGGTTAGGACCCAGACTTTAAGTGGACATTTATATTGTATGTAATATGTAATTAGTACAGTATATCCTGCTCACGCGACCACCTTTATTAAGCAATCACCTTCAATATGCGACTCCAATAAAATCCCCCCTACAAGTTTTCAATCTAATTAACGACTGATAATGCCTTGTTCACACCAACGGCGAATGCTGCACTTTAAATCGGCGAGCAAAGCGCCATCATTTTTTGTTTACTTTTCCAAAAATATCACAATCTCCTAAGTAATGTTACGCTCTGATACGAATTGGTTACACTTTGGGGACGAATTATTTCCCGATTTGATCAGGTCTTTTTAAGCTTTGATGCGGTTATGACGCTTTAAATCACGCTCTGATACGATTATCAAGCTCTGTTGTGCATTGTTAAGCTCTGTTATGCATTGGAAAATTTCGAAATGGCCGATTTCATGCCGCTTTTGATCAAGTGGTGACAGACCGTGAAGACTGGGGTCCCTGCTTTGAATAAAGCTCTGTAAAACTTTCCTACGCTTTGAGTCAAGCTTTACTGAACTTTGTTACGCTTTGTTAAGCTTTGATACGTTCTCGGCGCTTTAATCAATTCATGACAGAGCGCCCAAAATTTTTAAACAGTTTTGAGTGAATTAAGCGACCATGACACTTATTAACTCCCTTGATTAAACATCACGTTGTTTCACATATCGGTGAGATTAATCGAGATTATTGTTAATCGGTCTAGGGATTAATTTTACAGCTTGTTAATGATTAATGTCAGTCTATTATCGACATAAAAAGGGCAGTTAAGCATGAGCCATTCATTTTCAAAATGTCGAAGCCTACACATAATGTTTTAGCATTAAATGAAAGGGTCAAGGTCATCAACTTGGTGAGAGCCGGGAAAAGTGGTCGAGAAATTTTGGAGGATTTTGAAAGCAATGTTTCTCCCGATCGGAAACGTGTCAAGCGGTTCACCAGCAATGAAGAAATTAACAAATTAACTTAGGAGTTTTATAAAGATTGTCGCGCTCAGAATGCCGTAGTAAATGGACCATTGTTAGAGGAATAACAGTGTTTTTGGTGCTATGAGTGGTGAACACACGGATTTCTAATTACTAATACATAGAATGAAATAAAGGAAATGAATGAAATTGTTTCAGCTGACTCAATTCTCTCATAAGAGACCACCTCCAGTAAGGGACCGTTTTTGTATTTTCCCCTGTGTGGTCGCTTAATACAGTTTTTACTGTATTTTTTATACAGTATGTAATATAATATTATCAATTATAAGAAGGATATAGAAATTGAATATAATAGAAAGGAAACACCCATCCTATGTATTTATTGTTATATATACAACCAGGATGTATGAAATCTACAATTAATTCCTTGTTTTATATCATTGTTTCACTGTTAATTATGGATTATACATCTTTATTTCATCTATTATCAACTTTATCTTGGAATATATCATCAGGTATCACTAGTTTTCCTAATCTTTTAAAATTACTTTAACAATACATATTGGGCTTTTTTTTTTTTTTTAACTCAACTCAATTAGTAATTAGTATGATATCTTAATGAGGTCAGGCAAATATTTTTGAGACACTATTTTTGTTCCTCTGCAATTATGTATGAGTAAAAAAACAGTTTTAATCAAGAACTTCTGGATTCTCTCTTGTGACCTCTGATCTTCCCAATACTTTTTAGGTAATTCCAAATCTGGCTTAACTTATATTTCCGTTGCTCACCCAAATACATGCAACCAGACTCGAAGAATGGTTGACAGTTAAGCTACCTTAACTTTAGCTGTCTGAATGCAAAATAAGTATTTTCATATATATTGACAGGATTTCTATATATACTTCAAATTCTATTTTTATGATAAATTTTCTTGTAGACCTGGTTGATAAGTTCATACCTATCTGTAGTGATACAAAAAAAACCTTCAACGATACTTTCTTCATATACCATAATGGTTTTTCACAGAAAAGTTTAAAACAACATAATTGTTCTTGTCATATATATTCCAATAGTAACAATTCAAGAATTGGCATCCAATATTTAACTCTTATTAACAAAGAAAACACATCACTTTATCTTCAAAAAAAAAAAAAAAATGAGTTTAAGGATACAAGTAAATTCAAATGTTCTGCAAGACACAAATGTTCCTTTAAACTGAGTAATAATGGTACAATACAGTTTACTGAAAATGGTGGCATTTCACAATTTCTATTTGAAGTCGGTGGCAAAACAGATAATGGTAAGTGTGACCAGGGAAAGTCCCATTCTTCAATACAAGTTATGTAACTTAAACTTTAAATTATAATTTCAATGTTACCTGCCTTTATACTTTATATGAATCATTAATCACAAAATAAGGCCCTTAAATGATCTTTATCATATTGTTATAAAAATATTGAGAAATTACTATGTTCTGATTGACACATTAAGAAGCATATTTTTAGTAGTTTGTATGTAATTCCTATACATATGAGTTTAGCTTAGAGCTCAGTACATGATATAATAGCAGACACACGACAACTAACATTTTTTGCTCTTTTTTTTTTAGATTTAAATATAACGTTATCATGTAAAAGTAAATCAACTGAAATTACACATCCTGGTATGGTGGAAAAATTAGAAGAAAATTTCACTAAAAATGATCAAGTACCACTTCCTGTCCCTAGCAATAACAAGACAAGTAGTAAGATATTCAAATTGTTGATGATAACTTTTCTACTACGTTACATCTAAAGAAAGCATTTTCTTTCTTAATACCAATTTTCAAAGAGTTTGGTATCATTGTTTTAGTGTGTGGGGATCACTTGTAATTTATGTAAAATCTAGTATTCATATAATTCATTTGCTGTATTTTTGACCAACTGAATTATAGATTGTCTATATTCTAAGAATATGTCTAGTTATCTCCCTTTTTTCAGGTATCAATATTGGAATGATATTAACAGGAATTGGTATCTTTATGATATTTATTTCGATACTAATCATTTTTATATTCTTAAGGTATTTGATATCCTATTTCCATTTACGATTTTGACGTCTGCAGTCTGTCATAAGTTAAAGAGACATTGACTTTCATACCAAAAGTTTGCAAACTCGATGATCCATTACTTTTGAAATCATAGGGAGTCGACATACACATGATCTCCAAGACTATTTATATCCATTGTCAATTTTTAATATTTTTGTCACATATATAATGATCAAACATAAAGAAAATAGCCTTTATAAGTTATGACACCAGGTAAGTCTTTATGAATATATGATGAATATATACTCATTTTGGCAAATTTCAATTTTTGAATCATCCAAAAATGAAGAAACAATATCAGCCAACCAGATTTCATGCAATATATTTTACTACACATTAAATAGTCAATGTCAGAACAGCCAAAAAATATGTGCTTTATCACCATTCCTTACAGAAAATATAGACAAAAGAAAGATGTTTCCGAGAAAGTAATAAATACACACACAGTATCAGAGATCATTCCAGAAAAAACATCAGAAATCAAAAGTACCAAGGGTAAGTAAAGTTTTAAAATTTTCATCAGAAAGAGAGCATAATATAAACTATATTATAGAAAATATGAGTAAAAAGCTATATCTTGAAAGTTGTACAAAATCTTCAAAAATGGAATAGCAAGTGTTAATGATATTGAGAATAAGCTCTTGGTGTCTTGTGTCTTTATGTCACTCCGGTATTAGAGGAATATTACAGTCAACCTGCTAGAAAACAAATATCTTGATAAAATCAGATTGTCTTTCATAATAAGTCACTGAAGGCTTCTCAAGAATAAATATGAAAGAGCTTGCCAGGCAAGGTAATATACGCCCACTAGCAGCTTTAATTTTTGAATAAAAATATTTAGCAGTACAGTAACAATCACCAGTATGAAATATTCTACCTTCAGTCATACACTTCTTTTGAACTTTTTAGGGCGATACTGAATAATATTGAGTATGAGTTGCCCTTGTTCTTGAAAATGTGTTCAATCTTTAGCTCGTGAAAACTCTAGAAGACAAATATTCAATCTTCAGCGAGGTACTGAATAATAAAACTAAGTTTTGTCACAATCCGGCAAGAATCGTGCCATCTAGAGTTTTTACGAGCTACAAATTGAACGAGTTTTCAAGGACAAGGGCAATAACTCATACTAAATATTTTTCCATTTTTTCTGATTTTCAAAAGACTTTATCCTTGGGTGATCACAAATACTCAAGCCAAGTTTCGTTAAAACCCGTCAAGAATTGTGCCTCCTAGAATGTTTACGAACTAAAAATTGAACGCGTTTTTAAGAACAAGGGCA